TAATTTTTTGGGAGACATTAATAACAACTATCCAAAAAGCAAGAGGCTTAACTTCATAAAGAGAACTTCTTGGATCCTTCCTCGAATCGTCCGTGATGCTCCAATAACTGGAGCCCGTACATTCTATACTGATGCCAATAAAACAGGGAAGGCAGGTTACAAATCGGAAGACTTGGGTAAGGTGGAACAAAGTCCTTATGATTCTGTCCAGAAGGCAGAATTATATGCCATTCTTATGGTGCTAAGGGATTTTAGAGAACCTATTAATATAGTTACTGATTCACAATACGCAGAAAGAGTTATTTTACATATTGAAACTGCTGAATTTATACCTGATGATACAGAACTAACCTCATTGTTTATCCAGGTTCAAGATTTGATCAGGAACAGGCTTTGCCCTATGTACATAACACACATCCGATCCCATACGGGTCTGCCAGGTCCTCTAGCACAAGGTAATGCAGAAATTGATCAATTATTGATTGGTAGTGTGCTACAAGCCTCTGAATTTCATAAAAAACATCATGTTAATAGCAAAGGTTTGAAGAAAGAGTTTTCTATCACATGGCAACAAGCTAAGGAGATTGTAAAGAAATGCCCTACTTGCTCTTTCTATAACCAAACGCCACTGCCTGCAGGGGCTAATCCAAAGGGCACCCAAAGGAATGAAATCTGGCAGATGGATGTGTTTCACTTTGCAGAATTTGGCAAATTGAAGTATGTTCACCACACCATTGACACTTATTCAGGCTTTCAGTGGGCAACTGCTTTAAGTTCAGAAAAAGCTGATTCAGTAATCACTCATTTATTAGAAGTCATGGCTATCATGGGTATACCTACACAAATAAAGACAGATAATGGTCCTGCTTATGCCTCTAGGAAAATGAAACGGTTTTTTGACTATTACAATATCAAGCATGTTACAGGTATACCATACAATCCTACAGGTCAAGCAGTCATAGAAAGATCAAATCGAACTATAAAGGATATGTTGAATAAACAGAAAGGGGTGGAAAACACCCCCAGAAATAGGTTACATAATGCTTTGTTAACCTTGAATTTTCTTAACGCTAATGAGAAGGGGACAACGGCTGCAGAAAGACATTGGATAATGGAAAAGTCTACTGAACTAAATCAACCAGTTTATTTCAAGGATGTGCTGACCTCACAATGGAAGCCAGGAGATGTGCTGCGTTGGGGAAGGGGTTTTGCTCTTATCTCCACAGGTGAGGAACAATTGTGGATACCGTCAAAATTAATAAAGGTTCGGTATGAAGAAGAAAAGCCATTTGGAAAAGATAAATAACAATTCATTCACAAGGATGGCGAGCATACTGATGGTAAGGAATTCAGGTAGGTTGGGGGCAGGGTTTTTTTTTTTTTTTATCTCCACAGGAAAATACTGATCTTCAAAGAATTTAAGGGACCCTGAATATTTAATAACTGATGGATGGAAAATAGTTACGACCCACTAAGACTCAACAGTAACATGAGTAAGTATTGATTATATATATATTTTCTTTTTTCTCTTTGAACGCTTCTTTATAAATATGTAGAGCTGGTTTTGGAGTTGGACTATGGCTCAGTCCCTCTTCAATTCCAAGCCTGTTGATAAGAGATATCTCAGAGTTTCTGTCTCAGATCAGGAGCCATGAAATGGGACAGAATGAGGATAATTATATACTTGATAAACTTTCTTTGCTTTTCCTCATATCTGTGTCTTTCTTTATATGTCAGAATATGTCCTTGTTGTTAATGTTTAAATTTCCCATAACAAGCAACAAATTTCCCTACAGTAATTTTTGAAGTTTCCAGGATGAAGATGGGGCCCCACAACATCAACTCAACCTGGTTTTTATGACGTCATGAATATTTTTTTTCTTTTTCTCTTTTTTACGCGCTAATATGAGACCTGTTTTTTGGTACCAACTGCACAAGACAATTTCGAATGGTGCACATTTTTGACAACACTCTGGCCGGACCTTCTCAAAGTGCTCAGGGACTAGTTATAATTTTCTTAGGTCAAAGGTTAATTTGGGAATTTTACCATCATTTGCTTTCACAGGAGCCCCTAAGGAGAACATCGCCCCCATGTCAGCTTGAAGCAATCTTAGAGGACGACGTCCCCTCTCCCAACAGAGTTTGCCCTCAGGGTTAGGGACATCTTTTAGTGGTTGGTTTGGGGTTGAGGGGATGGGGAGATGTTTTATGGAATTAGGGGTATGTTCAAAAAAAAAAAAGGGGGGGGGATTAACTGGTTTGATGGGATGATTGGTATTTGTGAGTTACTGTTTTTAGAAAATTGTATTGGTACTGTTTTCTGTATATTGACATATTGAATATTGAATGTGAGTGTTCCTACCTCTATTTTTGTATAAGAATATGCTTATATTGTATTGATACATCTACCATATCACAATGTACATTTCTACCTCTGATACTATTTATGTAATAACATTGTTTACATTTGATATGTAATGACATTGTTTACAGATGAAGATCATTGTCTTCATATATTGCACAGTTGTTTATTGTTTTAGTCTTTAAGTTAGATAGATATTGAGAATTATATAGATTAATAGTCATCTAAGTTTGTCATTTGTAATTAGACTAATCAGGTTCTTTAGATATATAGAGATTATACTCAGTATAGATAGATAATCTTCAACCTCTTTGGAGAGCTGTAGAATATGGCCTTTAATATAACTCAGAGTTTCGTGATAGTGAGACACAATTGCTCCTGGCAACACCGCTCTATTCCCGAGAGAACGTTGAGCACCAAAGACACTCCACTGGGAGCTTGTCTTCTTGGCAGAACTGGCCTTTGGGTTAAGAAAAGCCCATACCTCAACCACTGACAGAGATACAGAGCGTGCATCAATGGATACAACAGGACTGTCATATCCTGCCAAGACAGGGTAAGATAGTTTTGAAAAGTTCCTTGCCTTTAATAATGGTATGTCAGTTATGTTAGGCCTTAGCCAAAGTTGGTTGACTCAACATTGCAAACGAGACTTTGGGTGATTGCCCAGGTAGTCAGTTGTCTTTGTCAATTGTTACACATTTTGGATATATCTCGTTTGTTAAGTAATATTTATTCCCTTCTCGGATCTTTGATGGAGTTGAAGATTATATAATTGTAGTTACTCTCTACATTATTTAGACTCCTTGAGATAGAATGTTTAGCAAAACTTTTGATTCTCAATAGTTTGTTATATTTATTTGTTATTATTGTATATAGTTGTATTTGGTTTAGTTCTGTCTTATTTAGACAAAAGGGGGAGATGTAGGGATAAGTCCCACCCCTTAGGGGGCGTGTTCGCCTCAGGCTAAAGTTTTCCTCTAAATTTGGCGAGCGTGCTCCCAGTGCTCGCTTCTGCTTTCCTGGTCTCCGCGGGAACGGTGGTTCTGTAAGTCTATTCCTCCATTAAAGCTGTCTATATTTTGACAGTCTGTCTGCATTTGCTTACGCCGTTACACACAAGAACCCTGTCAGCTTGTGGATGCTAAGTCTAAAGGTAAGAGAGCCTGCTCCAAGTGATGGCCTATAAAATCTATTCCAAATCCTCTCCCCTTGTTTCTCAAAATGACTTATCTTAGACTCTTGCCACAGTCTGTGAACTCATAGCATCAAAAAGGCAGCTCTGCAAACTTCAGCATACAGACACAGATGCACACTCTGGCATTTTAATAAGAACCCCAGGGGATTCATGTGCTGGTTCAAGTTCCAGTTGGTCTGGTATAGCACTGTGCCCTCAAACATCAGAAGAGACTGAGGGGCTTGGGAGCCCAGAGTGTTGGCTCTAGCTTTTGAGCATCAGCAGGTATGTAGTGAGTCTAGAGCTGGTATGGCCACTAAGATCCCAGGGGATGCTGCTGGGAAACAGTCCACATTGGGATGGGGAGGGCAGCAGAGTCGATGTACTTGTTCCTAACATTTTCTCATCCCAACACACTTCTACCAGTAATAGCAGGCCACAGTGAGCAAACAAGGATGGTAATTCATAGCTTTCCATGGTGAGAAGGAGATAAATGTCCTCTGAAAAGGCTTTCAGGAGCATCAAACATGCACCCCAAGGCATTGGGACCTGAAGATGGCTAGGCGTTTCTCGCAGATGCACAGGAAGGACAGCATCCAGGCCCTGGTTCTGTCTCCAACTTACATCCACTCAAGCCAGACTGAGTAGTACACACTGGGAAAAAACTGCTCTGCTTTTTCTCTCCTTTCTGGGTCCAAGTTCATGTCTCCTATCCCAAGGCTAATACTCCAAACTCAGACTTGGAAGTTAGAGATCAGGGAATATCTGAGTGGGTCTTAATTAAAGTGAAGCTGTAGGACCTGACTAATTTAGGGAAGGAGGATCCCCATGTGTTTCCTTACTTACCAGAACCCTGTTCAATGGAGTTAAGAAACTAAAATAACAACTTAGGACAAAAAGTTCCCGAGCTTCCTGTCTGTTATTGGCGCTTAGACACTTATTACTCTCAGTGACTGTGGTATGTGTAGGGCTATGGCCTGGAGCACACTGTGAGGATTCTCAGATACCCTGGACTGACTCTTTAACTAGCAGTTCTAAGGTGGGATGAAATCTTGGAGTAAGTGCCATGCAGTTAGTGGGTAGGAGGATTGGCCAAAACTGCTAGCGGAAGAAAATTCTACTTTTCTACTCACATTTTTAAGTGAATAAGAGCCAAACTGCATTGAGTAATAGAAGGGGTAATTTTTTTTTTGAGACAGGGTTTCTTTGTAGCTTTGGAGCCTGTATTGGAACTTGCTCTGTAGACCAGCCTGGCCTGGAACTCAGGAAGATATGCCTATATCTGCTTCCTGAGTGCTGGGATTAAAGGCGTGTGCCGCCACCATCTGGCTAAAAGGGGCCATTTTTTAACATGCACACATCCTCATTTTGAAATTTAATGGAATGGAAATTTAATTTTCATCTATGAAGTATATTTGAACCAGACTATATCAGGTTGGAAATGTACTCGAAATCTCTTACCTGTCTTGTCATCTGCCAAACACAATCAATAAACTGAAGAAATATAGGTGATCGGTCAGCATCTGCATGGTTGTCATCACCATGGCCCACTCTCTGGAAAGAAGCAAAAGATTGCAATTGTGTTATAGTCCTCTCAAAAGTCAATTAATTTGTCTAGTCATGTCTCATTATGCCTATGATAACTCCTGCTCATTATGGACACTCAAAATTGTAAGAAGGAGGAACTAGACATTAGAGCATAATGATACATAGTATGAAAATGCCACAACAAAAGTGCTACTTTGTATGATTTTAAAATTAAATGACTACATAATTAAAAATAAGAGTTCATTAAACTAAATGGATTTTCATTTCTTTTAGGAAACACTATTTCAGTTTACTCCATGTTTATATGGTGATGGTTTTATAATTTCACTTTAATATAGTTGATACTAAGAAAGATGGAGAACTGGCTAGCAAACCTTTTAGTTCAAATGATGGGATCAAGGGCCACTACTATAGCAATGTATGAGGCCTAATGAGGAGTGCACAAAGTAGGACATAGTTCAGAAATGTCACGAACAGGGCGAAGGAGATGGCTCAATGTAGAAAGTGCTTGCTGTCCAAGCAGGGGAGCTGAGCTTAGGCCATGTAAAAGCTGGGTATGGTAGCACAGAGAGAAGACCCTGGAGTCTTGATGGCCAATCTAGGCTAAATGGTGAGGTCCAGGTTCAGTGAGAAAACTGTCTCAAAGGTAGAAAGTGAGAGACAAAGAAATCTAGATGTTAACCTCTGGCCTCTACATATCCATACACATGAACACTTCATACACATACACACAAATAATAAGAAATAACAGTAAAGTCTGAGAATGAGTATATAAGTGCTATCCATTTTCATATATGATTTGAAGAACCCAAAATCTCATTCTTGAAATGGTATTGGGGCAGAGTCCTTCCTCAAGCAAGTTCAGGATCACACTTCACACCTTTGATATTTTCTATCAATGCATTCATACTTAAAGCTAAGATTCCTGATCGCATAAAGAGATTTGCCAGAAGCACTGAAAGTTCAATGAATAATAAGATATCCACAGAGTGAGCATTCTAAAAGAAGCTTCAAATAAGCAAAAGGATAAGAAAGGAACGATTATGAAGCAGGTTATTCAATCCCCACATAGAGAACTTGAAAAATAATGAAACTACCACCTGGAAAGACATAAAAACAAGGAAATGACCAAGTAATGTCAGCATCTAACAAGCAGGGTGGTAGGTCCAAACAGGAGTTTGAGGGAGACAGAAAGGAATGGACAAAATGAAAACACATGGTGTACATGTATAAACATTTGAAAGAATAAATTACAAAATTATTTTCATAAAATCTCAGAGATGCCATACATGGTGGCATACTCCTTTAATCAGAGCACCCAGAAGGAAGAGGCAGGTGGATCTCTGAGTTTGAAGACAGCCTGGTATACATACTTGAAGCATTTATGTTATTATTCTTTATCAATAAAAACTTGGGATTCAGATATCAGGATAAGAACCTGAATGAGTAAAGAAGCAGTGGCAAAGTGACCAGTGAAGGGCCAGGCCCTCTCTAAGACCCGTCCTACCACTTCCTGTCTCTCTATCTGTCCTCAGTCCTCTAAAACTTCTATTGTTAACTTTGGTTAGCCAGTAGCTAGCTCCACCCTCTGATTCAAAGCAAATTTTATTGGAAGTCTTGGGAGCATCAGAATGCAGTCAAAATATTACACAACACATAGTGAGTTTCAGGCCAGACAGGGCTGCCATCGTAAGACACTGTCTTAAAGGATCCCACACACCAAAAATCCCCTTAAAATATATTACCTTATTTTCATTTGGTAGGGTAGGTGTTTTGTTTCGTTGTGGTGGTGATTGTTTGGGGAGGCTGTTTCTATTTTACTTTAAAGGTTTGACTTTTTTATGTGCATTATGTGTGTGAGGCTAGAGTACGATTCTATCTACTTGGTGTAAATGGAAAACACAGTATTTATCATTTTGTGTCTGGCTTATTCCAGTCAACATAATGTCTTGAAGTTTATCTATGTTGTAGCATATGTCAGAATTTCCCTCCTGTTTTAAGGCAAAATACCTTTACCCTTTGAGCCAACTCTCCAGTCCTCTCATTCTTTTCTTTTTAACATCTACTAACCTCCTCTGGTATAAGGGATCCTGCTTGGCCTTCAGAATTCTAGGCAATTTAATAGTATGTGGATGAGGCACAATCCTTGGTAAGGTACCTAGGATACAAAGACAACTGCAGCACAGTGCCTGGGTTTGAGGAGTAATTAATTTGTGGTGTGGTCAAGTGGGTAAAGACCTGTAAATAATAAGGGTAATACACTATTGCAAGGGCTTTTGCATGTGCATTGGGTATAGTGAGGACAGAAAGGAAGGTGTGAACAACCTTAGGAAGGGGCTGAAGAGTATAAGGCAGTAAAGTCACATAAGATGCAGTCATTATGGAAGTCTCATTTAGATAAACTATGAATGCCAGGGAGACACCTTCCCCCTAATATATCAATGAATGTACTGTAATCAGTGAGAAGTGGTGAGGCTAGCCAGGCAGCTGGGAGCTGAGCGGCAGGAACACTGACCGCAGCTCCTTCTACAAATATCGCCCAGATGTGGATAACTGAATCCACAGAAAGCCCGAGAAAGCTTGGGAAAGAATAGAGTAAAGCATGTTTTCTTGGTAGCAGCAATTTCTCGGGTCTGCTCTGCTTGCCAGAGGCAAGCAAGTGCTCTCATCTAAGAGAGGCTTCCCGACTCAGCTTTTAGCTGCAAAACCCTGCAGCTCTTTTAAGAGGTCCTACCACAAATACTTAAAACGGTGTTGATGAAAAGCTGAACGCATGCTTTTCAGTTTTCAGCTGTATCAGGAAAAAAGCTACGCCGTTTTAAAATGCTGGCTTTCTGAGCTGTCCTTCCAGGGCAAACTCTGACTCTTTCAGACAGGCAGGCCAACTGAGTGTGGTCTGTGAGCAGAATGCTGCATCTTTCTTGCTGGCAGGGACCTTGAAACGCTATAGGGTTGTGGCAATAAAAATGGCTACAGCCGTTACCTCCGCCATGAGGCTGGAAAGCTAAGGAATGGGCTGGATCTAGCCGGCAAAGCCACGGCTTTAATCCTACCCACATTGCTCAGTAATTTAAAGGCTCATGTGATCAGAAAAAAAGAGACATATACAGTAAAGAGAGATTCAAAGACAAAAAAAATCTCTAAATGGTTTACAGTTTGTTAAAATATATGTAAGCTAAAGGTTAAAGTTCTTTTTTTTCCCTACCATAGGTTTATTGAAGGAAACCGAGTTCCTGGCTGCTTGCTGGCCCTCAGCTCGGGGAGGCTGAGCAACCCGAGACTGGCAGCAGCCTAGACCCTGATCCGACATTGAAAGGCAGGAACCAAAACCTCCCTCCAGTGCCCAACAAAGCTTGTAGCTCCTTGGTGTCCTTGGTGCCAAGCAGGGCCTGTTCCTATGGTGAGGACGCAGGAAGGTAGCGAAAAGTTAAAAAAAGAAAGAGAGTAGTTGGGTGTGGTAGTACACACCTTTAATCTTAACACTTGGGAGGCAGAGACAGACAGATCTCTGTGAGTTCAAGGTGTGGTAGCATATACCTTTCATGTGACTTCTGAGTGTGGTGGGACACACCTTTAATCCCAATGCCTGGGAGGCAGAGACGGACAGATCTCTGTGAGTTCAAGGTGTGGTAGCACACACCTTTAATCCCAGCACTTGGGAAGGAGAGGCAAGTGGATCTCTGTGAGTTCAAGGACAGCCTGGTCTATAGAGTTATTCTTGGACAAAGATATACAGAGAATGTGTCTCAAAAAATAAAAGTAAAAACAAACAAAATAGAGGTTAAAATAAAGCTGCACAAAGATGGAAAATACACAGAGAATCTTGATACTGTATGCTATTATGCTCTCTTTGAATTGTTTGAATGCTGAGGAAGGAGCAACAGATGCTAAAAGATATTTGTTTATAAATGATGCTTAACTAATCCAACATAGATATTTTGAAAATACTTTGACTTCGGAATTTGGATCCAAGGATATGATACTTTGGAAAAGAGATTCTTCTTTTGTTTTCATAGAGGATGAGACCCTGTGGATTGCTTCTATGCAATATGGTATGATAGACCACGCCCTCCTGAAAGGTTGCTGTGAACACCCTCAAAAAATTACTTTGCTCAACTGCCGACTGAGAGGAACCTAGCACATAGGTTACACCATGAAAGATCTGATTAACAGCGCCCCCATTCAGCAGGAAGCAGCTTGGAGAGAAAAAACTGCGCCCATGTTCCTAAATATTGTTTATAAATGTTCTTTTACATTTAAAGGGGGTATGATATAGATATGGACAATTTATATTGGTATGTTTTGCTTTGTTGATATAAATTTAAGGACGATTTTGTTATATATATGCATATTTCTGATCTTGATTAAGGTATTGTGATTATGTAGTTCATTTAAAAATGTAATGTATATAGGATGTTGATAATCATCTATAATAGTCAAGTTTGTAGTCATGTTAGTTAGACTTTCTAGGTGTGCATGAATATATTTCAGATAGGCATTCTTCATATCTTTCAAAGACTACAGAATATGGCATTTAATGTTTTAATAACTTAAGGATTTTCATGACAATGAGACATGTCTGCTCCTGGCAGCACCAATCTACTTCGAGAGGAAGATGGGAATCGAAGAGGCTTTTTACAGAGTTTGACAGCCATTTGGGCAAGAAACTGCTCTTGCCCAAACTGTTGCATAAACTGGACACAAAGAACCTGCAGAGAGAGGACTGCTGAACTTGCCCAAAGGTGAGATGATTCTTTGGGGTTCCTGACTCATGAAAGAGTCTGCAAGACATTCTGCAGGACACAGCAGATAGTGACTGAACTGTCTTTGAAATTTCCTGCTTCATGGAAAAAGTCTGCTGGATACTATGGGCCTGTAGGCCAAAGATAGATGCCCCAACCGTACAGAGGAACTTTGGGTAACTGTCCAGGAAGGAAAATGTCTCTGTCATTTCTAGAGTTTGGAAGTTGCTTATTTCTTGTTTGCTTAGGTAATATTATATCCTTCGGGAGTCTTTGATGGAGTTGAAGAATAGATAGATAGTTATTGTTTTCCTTAGTTATGATAAAAGATAAAGTAGATATAAATATTGTAGTTGTAATTCTTGCTTGATAACTGTTTTATAATATGTGATTTTACTATGTTAAAGTTAAAGCCTTTCTTTTTTGTTTAAACAGAAAAAGGGGAAATGATGGAGGAGTTACTTTTATTGGTTAATAAAGAAACACTGCCTTGGCCCATTTGATAGGCCAGCCCTTAGGTGGGTGGAGTAGACAGAACAGAATGCTGGGAAGTGAAGTGAGCCAGACGCCATGCCTCTTCTCTCTGGTCAGATGAAATGAAGCTCCGGCCCAAGATGGACACAGGTCAGATATGCTGAATCTTTCCGGATAAGCCACCACTTTGTGGTGCTACACAGATTATTAGAAATGGGTTAAGTAAGATATGAGAATTAGCTAAGAAGAGACTAGATATAATGGGCCAGGCTGTGTTTATATGAATACAGTTTGTGTGTTGTTATTTTGGGGCATAAGCTAGCCAGGCAGTCCAGAGCTGGGTGGCAGGAACACTGCCCGCAGCTCCTTCTACAGAGGGGTGCTTGGAGAACTCTAAGTGGGTGGTCAGGGCTCACACTCGGGGAATGAGTGAGGAGGGGAAACTTGGGTGTGAGATTAGGGAGTTGAACTAGGGACACATTGAGCATCACACTGAGTTCATATTGGGCAGTGACAACACTAATGCTCCATTTGATTACAGGAGGATGACAGGAAGCAAGGGGACAGGCTTCACAAAATCTACTTAGGATACTCCCTGAAAGAAATGAATAGACCAAAATTAAGGGTGAAGTGGTGGCAATGTGAAGGGGAATGCCAGATCTGAAGCTAGGTTCAAATATTTGGCACTGGCTGAAATCATTAAGAGATTAAGCATACATAGAAGAGAAGTAGTCCCAGGGCTGAGCCCTAAGACACCACAATGAGGTTGGAGAGATGGAGGGTCCAAACCAGAAAAAAATGCAAATGATTGTAGAGTCACAGCCTAGTGAAACAAAGCACTTCTTAAAGAAGGAAATAACAACACAAATGCTCAGGCCAAGTAATAGAAGGGTTTGGCAAAGTGGCTGTGGTAAGACTAGTTGCGATGGATGAGTGTGAGAAGGAAGCCCAGTTAAGGTGGGGTCAAGACAGACAAGAAGGAGAAAGGCAGTGGTAAGTAGATATGCATAAAATAGTTCTGATGAGTGTTCTAATAAAGGAAGGCAGATAATTGCAATAATGGCTGGAGGAGATTATAAAGTCAAAAGGGTTGTATTTTAGGGTTATAACAGCATATTTATACAGCAATGGGAACAGAGGCAGGAAAGAAAGAAGTTAGCTATAAAGTTACGTGATAATGTGCAAGAAATATATGACAGAAACAGACAAGAGCAGGTACTAGTTTGAGGAACTCAGAAGCTCATTCATGGAAACAAGGGAAGTAGAGAACAGAGACTCAGCCAATGTTGGCTGCAGACTGAAGCCCTCTCCCTTACCACCTCAGCTGCTTGACCATAGGTAGACAACTCACACCCTAGAATAGAAATCTGGTTCATCATTTGTCAACTGCAGGACTGCCTACATCAGGTGACTCACAGCTGCCTTTAACTCCAGCTCTAGGCTATCTTAAACTCCAGATCCAGGAGATCTAACACCCTCTTGTGGCCTCCATAGGTACATGTATAGATGCAGCATACATGTACATGGACACACATATACATAAGTAAAAATAAATCTTTAAAAATTAAAAAAAAAAGAACACAGCACTCTGTGTTCATCCTGACACCATAGCTTCTGTTAGTTCTGGTACTACCATTGTTGATATGTCGACAGAGAGCTCTTAGCACTTCCTTTCTGGTTAAAGCACCTTGAGAGCCTTCTTTCCCTCAGGACAAACATTCTGGGGATGAAACATGAAAGAAAGTAGCTTCTGAGACTTCAGAGAAAATCAGCTGTAAACATCTGGAAACCCTATACTCTCTTCCCCATGGAGCTCAGATTTTGCTGAAGGGGAACAAGCATTTAAGTTACTGTTTTAACAAGGATAACCCCAACTAAGACTTCTAGCAATAGTGGAGAAGGTGCCTGAACTGGCCTTCCCCTATAATCAGATTAGTAACTACCTTAATTGTCATCATAGAACCTACACCAGTAACTGATGGAAGCTGATGCAGTGATCCACAGCCAAGCACTAGGTGGAGCTCCTGGAATTCAGTTGAAGAGAGGGAGTAAGAATGGGGAATGTCAAGATTATGATCAGAAAAACCACAGAGACAGCTGACCTGAACTAGTAGGAGCTCACGAACTATGGACTGACAGCCAGCAAACCTGCATAGGACTGAATTAGACCCTTTGAATGTGAGTAACAGTTGTGTGGCTTGGGCAGTTTGTGGAGACACTGGCAGTGGGATCAGGATTTATCCCTGGCGCATGAACTGGCTCTTTGGAACCCATTCCCTATGATAGGATACCGTGTTCAGCCTTGATACAGGGTGGAGGGCGCTCGGTCTTGCCTCAACTTGGTATACTAGACTTTGTTGACTTCCTTGAAGAGGCCTTACTTCCTCTGAGGAGCACATGTGGGGGTGAGATGAGGGAGGTGGGAGTGGGAGAAGGGGAGGGAGGGGGAACTGGGGTTAGTATGTAAAATTTAAAAGCTTTCAAATAAAAAAATATTAATAAAATGGAAATTGTGTCAATGAAGCCTGAATATCTTACCTACATTTATGTATAAATATAAAGATCCTACTTATAAACTGAAAAAAGACAGTGTTTTTAAAATAGTCACAACATCTCTGAATATGGGCCAGGTTCAGCAGCAAGCACTTAATAAATCCAAATTCCTCCCCCTTTAACACCTAACTGCAGAACGAAGGAAACCGAGGCAGAAGCAATGGCTAAATAAATATCTGACAACAGCTTCCCAGGCCATGAAGCTCAGAGGCTGTGGAGCTACCCCCTCATTCTAGAAGGGCTTCTACCTAGCCCTCCTCCTTGAAGTGTATTCACAGCAGGTAAACTTGGATCCCCACACCTATGGTACTCCAAGTCCTTGCACTGCCCACCCTGCAATTCACACTGAGCCTCACTCTGACTTTGGGAGTATTCCAATTCAATAGATGATCCCCAACAGCTCAAGAGGTTTTGCACAGTAGAATTCACTGCCAGTTTCAGTCACACACAAATGGCTGCCCCAAATGCCCACCAAAGGCCCAACAATTCACTTAGGAATATACTCTGCAAATTGAAAGCAAGAGTTTCCAGGCTGAATTACATGTCCAAAGCCCCAGTACTTTATAATGTTACTGTATTTAAAGGCAGGACCTTTAAAGAGGTCACTAAAGTTAAGTTCTGACCCAATATGACTGCTGTCCTTAAAGATACCAAGGAAGCGAACAATGAGGGCTGATGAGAAGCCAAGGACAATGGCATGGGGTTTTGATCCTACTTCATGTTCTGGCTTGGTGGGAGCCTAGCCAGTTTGGATGTTCACCTTCCTAGACATGGACAGAGGGGGGAGGACCTTGGACTTTCCACAGGGCAAGGAACCCTGACTGCTCTTTGGATTGGAGAGGGAGGGGGAGAGGAGTGGGGGCAGGGGGAGAAGAGTGGGAGGAGGGGAAGAAGGGTGGGAGGTGAGGGAGGGAAATGGGAGGCTGGGAGGAGGCGGAAACTTTTTTTTTCCTTTTCTCAAAAAAAAAAAAAGATACCAAGGAAATGATCACAGAGAAAAGGCATGTGGGAAGAGGCAAGAAGAGCATGGCATGGCCATCTACAAACCAAGAAGAGAGACTTCAGGAGAAACCAACCCTACTGGAACTTGATTTTGGACTTCCAGCCTCTATAATAGTGAGAAAATACACATTTGTAGTTTATATTACCAGTCTGTGGTACTTTGTTATGGAAAAGCCTGTATAATCTCATGAGACTTTGTAGAGGCGGATTAGGAATCTAGGGGCTGCAGAGAATGGGAATGGTGCACTGACTAATGTATATAGGGCTTCCATTTGGGGTGACAAACAGGTTTGGGGACTAGCATTGTGAATATAGTATAGGACACTGTATTGAGCACTTTAAAGTGGTTAATTCTGTGCTATGTGGGTTTGACTTCATTTTAATTATATAAAATAATCCCTATCAGGAGCATACAATGTGGAGGTCCTTGGTATTTTATTATGGAAATTTAGGTCTGGTGCAAAGGAAAAGGGCTGTTCATGTATGTAAATATATGTTACCAAATGCCAAGTACATGTATGTGAGATGGGAAAACAGTTATACATAGATCAACATACCAGTGCAAACCTGTGTCCAAAGCTTATCCACTCCTTTTCTATGAGAGCCTCAAATCCTTTAATAGTCCGGTAATAACTGTCCAACATCAGCATTGCCAGAGATGTGAGCTGGGATGTTCGGTCCCAGCCATCGCTGCAGTGGATCACCACGGAAGTTTTCCCAGATTCTATTTTATCAGCAATTCGTACTGCCCCAGCAAGCAGCACCTTCAGAAAAGAAGGCAAAACAGACAAGGCTTCATTAAGTGTTAACCTCTGTATAAGATAATTCTGTAAAAAAAAGTTTAGATATTCTCACCTATAAACCATTAAGAATGTCATCTAGGGCTGAGGCTCTACTTCAGTGAGTCTCTAGGCTTCAGCCCTCAGACCCCAAACAAAGCAAAAAACAAAACAAATCAACAACAAACAGCTATAACATTAATTAAGAATAACTCACTAGGAAGTGTTAACATCTTTTTTTTTTTTAACTATGAAAACTGATCAAAGGAAATGGGATCTTTTATTGAAGGGCCACAAGGTTCTGTTAAAAACCTGACTTACTAAGTAGGTATAGCGCACACCTGTAATCCCAGTATTTGGGAGGCAAGTTCAGACTAGTCTGAGTTATGTAGTGAGTTTAAAGCTAGCCCAGGCTACACAGACTCTGTCATTCAAAAACAAAGAAACTTGGGGATGGAAAGATGGCACAGCAGTTAAGAGTGCATACTGTTTTTGCAATATTTGCTACTTGGAAATAAGTTAGGCAGCACATAAACATCTGTAAGTCCATCTTCAGAGTATCCAATACAGTCCTCTGGCTTCAATAGGAACAGATGTTCACATGTGCGTATACCAATCCCCACGTATGCATATCATTAAAATAAGACCAAATCTTAAAAAAATAATTAAGGAAGGTGGCGGAATCAGGAGAATCAGAAGATCAAGAGAACTTCAGTTGAACAGCAAATCTGGAGGCTAGCCTAGGCTACTTGAGACTCTGCCTCAAAGTTAATTATTTATTAATTGTTAATTAAAACATTGTGAATTTTTGTCAGAAATACCCTCCACAAAGACCACAGTCCAACTGTTCCCAAGAGGAATGTTCAAAAGCTCTCATACACAGCCAAGATGCATTAATCTGTGGTGTTGAAAAACCACTTAGAAATAGAAACATTTATGACAGATATTAGATGTCTAAATCAGAAGGTAGATAAAAGATTGAACTTTTTTACCCTTATATATTCCAGCCAATGTGTCCCATCCACACTGGATAGCCACCGTGACTCATCAATGGAAGGGTACACGATCTCCTTTAATTTACGAAGTGACTCCCTCATCACATGAATATTATGGATCTCCAAAAACACGAGTTCTGCATTGGGGTAAGCACTTTCACTTTCATATCCTCCACCCTTTGCCTATAAAGAAGCAAAAGATATGCATCACTTCTTCTGAAATTAACTTTTCTATTATTTCTACTATAATGAGACATAGACTACTAAAGAAGCAATAAGCTCCTATACCCTTGTATGGTTGCCCTAGAACTGCCAGAACACAACAGAGTACCATAAACTGACATCACAAACCAACAAAAATGTGTCTTCTTACTGCAGTGCACCACCACCACCACATCTAAGTTCTCAAGGCCAGGAAGCTGAAATACAGGTGCCAATAGGGTCAGACTCCCTTAGAACCCTCTAGAATAATGTGTTACTTACTTTTCTCATTGCTGTGACAAAGTATTTGGCAAAAGTACTTAAGGAAGGAAAGTGGCTCATAGTCTGAGAGGACACAGTCCATTATAGCAGAGAAAGAATAGTGTCAGATGTGAGAGGTAGCTGGTCACACTGATGAATGCTGCTGCTTATACTACTTTCTCCTTTTTATTCAGTCCAGGACCCCACATTCATCATAAGTCTTCCCTCCTCAGTTGAACCTCCCTGGAAACACTCTCAAAGTCATACCAAGCAGTGTGTCTTTATGACTGTAAATCCCATCTGTTGATGATCAAGACCAAGAACTGCAGAGAAGATTTATTATTCCTTGGCTCTCCTGGTTCCTAGTGGCCCTAGCCATTCTAGGTTTATATGCTCATTGCCTTAATCTCTACTTCCTTGTTTGCAGTTGATCTTCTCCCCTTTGTCTTCGCCTCTGCAAGTCTTATAAGAAATACCTGTTGGGCTAGCAAGATGACTTGGTAGAGAAGGCACTTGTCACCAAGACTGACAACCTGAGTTTTATTGATACCATGGACCTATGTGGTAAAAAGAGAGACCCAAATCCTGAAAAGTTGTCTGCTGGCCTGTACATATGAGCACATGCACACAATTAAATGTAATACAAAAGCATGTCTGTCATGCTGAATTAAGGTTCATCCTAATCTAATATGACTTTGGTTTAACTTGATTACATTTATAATGAATCTTTGAAAATATTTGTAAGTACGAGGAGTCAGGACTTCAACACTCATTTATTGAGGACATAATTTAAGCCTTAATAATCCTGCTGTACCCATTATGGTTTTTAGATCAGTACCAACTAACTGGCTCTTATTCAAGGTTCCTTATGCTAGTGTCATTTATCTACCAAGAAAATGTCATACTACCACAAAATTTCTGCATAATAATACAGTTTGGAGTTCTGAAACCACAAAGTTTATTTTAGCAATTTAGAAAGAGAAAATAATATAACAAAAAAGAAGATAAGGATTAACTCTTAGTGAGCTTATCAAAACCTGGTCTGTAGCTAGCTTACACTTTATAGAGGTCAGTAATTAAAGCACATTTAGATGAGAGTGCAGAGAAACTGGTGGGAATGTAAAAAGCTATAGCTGCTGCAGAAGTCAACTTGATAGTTCCTCAAAAAGTTACAGGTAGAATTTCTATATCACCTAGCCACTATGAACATTTGTGTGTAAATTTTATTTAAATACCTGTTCTCAATTCTTTGGCTTATATACCCATGTATATAAGAGTGGTGTCATAATAACAAACAATTTAAATGTCCATAAACAGATAGTTAAGCAAATAGAATGTTGTCTCTCTATACAATAGAATATTATTCATTCATAAAGAGGAATGCTGTAAGATGGTATAAAATGGATTAATTTTTTTAAATTAGTACCAATTGGCCTATTAGTTCAGGCTTCTTATTAACTCTTATAACTTATATCAGCCCATAATTCTGGTCTGTTTTAGCCATGTGGCTTGGTACCTTTTTCAGCAAGGCAGTCACATCTTGCTTGCTCTGTGTCTGGCTTCCTCTCTCTCTCTCGGTGACAATGGCATATTGAAACTTCCCTCTTCCTAGAATTCTTGTTGCCCTGCCTCTACTTCCTGCCTAACTACTGGCCAATTAGCATTTATTTAAAATACAAATGACAGGGTACAGACCAGTGTCCTACAGCACTCCCCCCCCTTTTTTAAACAAGAATTCTGAATCAAATCTACTTTGCTTAGCTTTTCTACTGACCATTATCCATAACAACTTGTAACCAACATTCTAAACAAAGGCAAATATCCATAATCCAAAATGGATTAATTTTTTTAAAATGAGTGAAAGAAGACAGACAGAAAGGAGTACTTAAATGTATGATTCAATTTTTGAGGGGGAGGTTTTTGAGACAGAGTTTCTCTGTAGCTTTGGGGCCTGTCCTGGAACTAGCTCTTGTAGACCAGGCTGACCTTGAACTCACAGAGATCCACCTGCCTCTGCCTCCAGAGTTCTGGGATTAAAGGCGTGCACCACCACTGCCAGAAGTATCATTCTATTTTTATGAAGTGTCCAATTCAGGGGAATCTATACAGAGAAAAGCATATTTATTGATGCCAGAGGTTGGAAAAGGGGAATGGGTACATGATGTGGGAGTGTCATATCAATCTGTTGATTTCATTGGCTGAGCAATAAAGAAACTGCTTGGCTGGCCCTGATAGCTTAGAACATAGGTGGGTGGAATAAACAGAATAGGATGCTGGGCGGAAGAGGAAGTGAGGTCAGACTCTGCGCTGCTTCCAGAGGGACCGGACAGCCGCCATGCTCTGCTCTCCCAGGCAGCTGCAACCCACGATGGACTTAGGCTAGAATCTTCCCGGTAAGCGCACCTTGGGGTGCTTACACACATCATTAGAAATGGGCTAGTCCAGGTGCGAGAATTAGCCTGTAAGGGCTAGAGTTCATGGGCCAAGCAGTTCTTAAATGAATACAGTTTGTGTGTTGTTATTTCGGGCATGAGCTAGCCAAGTGGCCGGGGTGTTGGGGGCGTAGCCCTGCCGCTCATATTTCAACAGGTACAGAGTTTCCATTTGGGGTAATGGATTCAGATAGTAGTGCTACTTTTACAGTACTGTGACTATACTGGAAGTCACTGAAGTATATTATGTGTAACACAAAGACAAGCTATTAATTTAGTCTGCAACCAACTATCCAGTATACAAATGTCTTGCCCTAGCTTAGTACTGGGCAATAATGAATAAGCTGAGACCCTGGTCTTTTAGGCTCTTCAAGTCTGGTGTGGTAGGCATGGGAGATCGGGATCAAGGGCAGCACGGGGCTGAGGGTCCTCTGTTCTAAGATAGTTCAGGAGGTTGCAGGTACCTGGACAGCCAAAAGCAAAAAAACAGGTACAAATCAGAGAGTACAGAAAAGAACATCTAAGACAAATGGGGCACAGATCTGGGTAAAGACGTGGCTTCCTGAAATGAAGGTAGGTTTTGCATAGAGAGTACCAAGACAGTGGTAAGAATGATGAATGATGAAGTCAGAGAGCATGTAGGGCCTGGATGACATGAGTGAAGAGGATCAGACAGTAGAGGAATGGGTTATGCTGGGAAGGGCCTAGGAGGGTGAGACACTCTCCAGGTAGTTAAGCACAGAGATGCAATCATTTGGCTGAAGGAAGTAGGGCGTAGATGAACATCTGATTTGAGATATTTAAGAGGAAGCACACAGTGATGACGTGGAATAGTGGGAGTAGATATGAAGAGTGATACCTATGATTCTCTGCCGGGCTGCCTGAGAGATGGTGGCATCATTTACTGAGAGTCTGTTGGCAAAAGAACATATTCTATGGGGAAGGTTATTTGCTTCTGAGTACAGCAAGGACCAAATGACTCTGAGAAAACTCAGCTGGGATACAAAAGGTCTGGAACTGAGAAGAAATGTGAACTGTGAATATCAATGTAGAACATTTGTCATATGGATGGTGACAAGGGAAGACAGAAGCATGCTGCATGGTGTTCCAGGACAATGTGTAATGTAAGGACAGAAGAGTAGGTCAGAAGCACGAGAAAGATCAGAATTTAAGGACAACAATAAAGAGCAGGGAGAAGGGGAGAGAAGAAGAGCAGAAGGGAGAGAATACAAAGAAGAGAGAAGAGAGGAGACAAGGGAGACATTACAAAGGAGAGGGAAGAAGAGAGTGGAAAGGGTGGAAGAGGAGAGGGAAAGGGGCAGGGAGAATAGGAAGGAGTAAAGACCTTGGGCAGGCAGGAGAGGCCAGGGAAGGAACATTAAGACCCATGGAGAAAGCCCCCTCTTCTACTGAAACAGGAGGCAGGAAGGGGAGACAATTCCTGTCTGATAGAGCTTGTCCTCTATGAATAAGCAGTCAGATGTTGAAGGCTGGGCAAGAGTATGCACTTGAATAGCCATAAATGGGTTGAGATGGCTTTTGTGGAGAATGTAGAGCTGGTCAGAGAAATGTAGAGGATCACGCAGCAGCACTGAGGGCCCAACTAAAACTTGAGCACACATGAATCCATAGTGGTTCTAATCTATGTATTATGAGCCCCCTTTTTCCCCGAAAACATTGAGAAGCTCAGGATGTGAGCTTGAGAAAGGCACACAGGAGAACTGAAATGGACTGCAAGGCAGTGATGCTTTTATTGGGCACCTACTTTTTGAAAAGTCGTGAGCTAGGCAGAGAAATCAGCCCGTGGGGACAGTAGCCAGTGAGCTGGAATCTCAAGGCTATACAGAACGTCAACACAGAGGCTGCATGCATACACTAAGAATTAGAATGAGCCTGGGAAATATAAAGTCAATTTATTGTCTACAAGCTGATTATAACAATGTACAGAAGACAGTCTCATTAATTAAACTAAGGTTATAGACATAATCTTATAACCTTACAAAAGAACACTGTATATAAATTCTATAACAGAACACTGGGATAAGTCACCTGAGGGTCTCAATACAGAAAGGAAAGGCAGTGAGAAAGGAAGTCCACTGATACCTTGGAAGGAGCAGGGTGTGAGGTTTAGAGAGTTCTGAAAAACAAAAATTTGTTGGACAGGCCTGTATCTATCAGGGCCAGACAGGGTTCTTGAGAGAAGCCAATGATATGGAAAAACATTACCTATCTGCAATTTGAGCAGTGGAGGTGGGGCCACTGCTGTGCCTGTTGAGAAAAAGAAAGCTATATATACCTTGGGAAGCCACTAATGTTCTTAGTTTCCGGATCTGAGAAAGAGCCAGCCTAAAGTACAGGGAATTGGCTAGCTATGTGAATATGGCTAGATTCTGTGCTGACCTTGGGGTGTGCTTCAGAAACTGGAAGAATTACCACCCAGGAGATGTGGTGAGAGAGAAAGGAAAGGACTCAAGTGCATGGAATGTGCAGAACTTCATTCTTAGATAAGTCGACATAACATGGTGACTATTGACAATGACAACATATTGACAATGACAAAACTGCTTAGAGCAGATTTGAAGTTTCTTCACCTTAAAAGAAAGTTTGTGAGGTTATGCATATGTTTGTTACCTTAATTTAGTGACTACAATACTTCAAAACATGCGAACCACAAACACATACAACCTTCACCAGGTAAAAGTATTATAAATATTTGTTATTTCAAAAGTAATAAAATAATTAAAAAGAAGATAATTCTTCTGTCTTTGTGTGTCTGTCTTCTCTATATAGTGTTCCTATATTCTGAAATTCCTTGGAATTGTACAGTGGTAACAAGCAGGATTCAGAGAGGTAGACAATAAATCCTGCAGTCCTGGGAGAGAAAGGCAACTGTCTGATAAAGGATGCCTTTGTACAATAGGCTGAAAAGTGACTCCCGTTGAAGACACAATAAACTTTCTCCAACTGTGAATGCAACCTTATTTGAAAAACAAAACAGGTCCTTGAAAATGTGATTAAAGACCTTAAGCTGCCAGGATAATCCTGGATTCTGCCAAGTGGGCCCTGAAGGTCACTACAATAACCTTAGAAGAAAGAGGAGGAAGAAACAAAGAAGCACACAGAGTAGGAGAAGGCCAAGTGAAGATAAGGTAGATCGCAGGGTATAGTTACAGCTCAGGAGTGCTTATTTGGCCATGAGACACTGAAGGAGGTAAGAAGTAGACTCTCTCTTCGAACCTTTAGAAGGGCAACAACTTTATGAGATTTTGGACTTGTAACAAGGCAGCCTCAGCCCCATTCTTCTCCTATCTTATTAACCAACACCATAACTTAGTCTTCAAGTCAGAATCCTGGGTGGCATCCATGACCACAGGAGTGGTCAACTCAGTAGTAGCTTCATGAATGGAGTATTAGGGGCATACCCATCACCATGCAGAGGTATCCACAGGTACTGTTTGCTCTTATTTCTAACCCTCCCACAAGTGTTGCCACAAGAACTGGTATCTTTCATCTGTGGAGCAAACCCCAGGAGTATCCAAGTACAAGCCAAAGGTCTCATTCTGCCAAACTCTCTTAAGCACATTGCATTTACTCTTAAGGTTTTATGACTCCAGAGACAGCCAAGTAGAGAAGTCAAACATGGGGATTTGGTCTAACCTCAGGAGGGTTCAGAGCTTGAGACACTGCCATGTACAACTTAGCACAGAGACATTGTTTAAAGTCCTGACTCAAGTAGATGACCTTGGGAGATTGTTATAGAACAAAATAGGAAATCACAAACCAAGTTCAAGTAACTTTACCATTTGAAGTTGGGAAAAGGAAGAGAAACCAATAAAAAAGAGCAAGAAGGCCAAGTTGTATATTGAGAAGAACATGGGGGTTGGGATGAGACATTTATGAAACCATGAAAACCAAGAGTGATCCATCTAAGGTCATTAATGATGACAGCAACTCGAATGCTGCCTCAGTTACAACTGCTGTAAGATAATGCTCCTGTACCCTATAAAGATTTGTCACTAGTATTGGTTTAATAAAGCAATGATTGGCCAGTAGCCAGGAAGGAAGTATAGGTGGGGCAACCAGAGTAGGAGAATTCTGGGAAGAGGAAAGACAAAGATGCAGTCACCAGCCAGATGTAGAAGAAATAAGATGAGAATGCCTCACTGAGGAAAGGTTCCAAGCCACGTGGCTAAACACAGATAAGAATTATGGGTTGAGTTAAAAGAGCTAGTTAATAATAAGCCTGAGCTATTAGGCCAAATAATTTATAATTAAATAAGCCTCTGTGTGTTTCTTTGGGACTAAATGGGAACCAGGTGGAACAGAAACTTCCACCTACAGACAATGACTCTAGAGGTAGAAGGTTGACCTTTTGGCAGCTGTAGTTAATTAATGATGGAATACATATTAGTGAAAGATAAGGAAGAAGCAGACAAGAGAAAGCTGGAAACACAAGCACACAGGTCGGATGATAATGGTGCCGCTAGCCATCATAAAACCATGTCCCATAGCATTGTTGAACAGGTATTCAAACTGTTTATGATGTTCTGCACAACTTTCTGACTATATAAAGCCAGCTCCAGTGCCATCTACATTGTAAAGTCCTAGCTAAGTTTATGGAAGGTGTAGCCATTTCACTTTCCCCTCCCAAGCAAACAAAGCTTACTTGTCCTATTTATAGCACCTCAAACTGTCTGCCTTTGTTATTTCCCCCAGCACATTGCCCCTACTGGGTGCTCATTAGATGTGTTACACAAGTGTCACATTACAAGTATGGATGAGCCAGGCGGTGGTGGCACATGCCTTTAATCCCAGAACTCAGGAGGCAGAGGCAGGCAAATCTCTGTGAGTTCGAGAGCAGCCTGGTCTATAAGAGCTAGTTCCAGAACAGGCTCCAAAGCTACAGAGAAACCCTGTCTCAAAAAACAAAACAAACAAAACAAAACAAAACAAATATGAATGTGATGGTAATGGACTGTCAGTTTTCTAATATTTTGAAATTTTACTTGAGGAGAAGGTAAAATGTTCTGACTACTGAAGTCTTCTGGTAGACTATTGGAAAACTATCCATGGGGAAGAGAAATGACTCAAATCAAAATATTTCTCTATGTGGATAATAGGTACCAGGAGCTTGATCTTCAAATTTTCATGCACATAAATGACTCAAGCCCCTTTAGCTCATGTAGAACAAAAAGGAACCACATGCTTGCACATCTCACACATGTGAGTACCGCTTTATGTCACTTACAGAAATTTTATATATTTGTAGTTTCATGTAGCTGAGTCTATTCTAAATAAATATGTATATGCATAAATGTATAAAATAATATGTAAAATATGAAGAGATAGGAATTGGTTAAATAATCAATAAATTTATTAGAGGGGCTTCCAAGGGGCATGTGGTTGTTTTACTAAAATACATACTGATTTATGCAGTTCTCTTTCAAGGCTTTAATTGAGTTATCAAATAAAACTGTGGAGAAGTAATGAAAACAATAAGATTTCAGCCAATGTAGGATCCTGGATACAGTCCACAGAGTATTAAAGAAGGAGTAACAGTCACAGTCTACATTAAAAGACTCAAAGTTCACATAATAAGAAATTCAATGGCCTGTTCCAAAACCATGAAGACTTACAGAAAGTACATTAAAAAAAAAAACCAAATTTTCTACAAGGCTACTGAACATGTACCTTGTTGGTATCAGCAACGCTGTTTTGTCGGGCATCAAAGATGATGAGTTTATGTGACTGTGCGTTAGCATCCATTATTGTCTGTAGGTATTTTTCATCTTCTTTGCAGCGTTTATCATTGGGACCCACCAGTGGCTGGCTGCAACGTGTAATCGTTGCCTGACTTTCTGGGTGAATCCATGATAACACCTAATATTTTTAAAGCAACAAATAAAACATATCTGCTCATAGATATCATCCATAAATTAATATAATTAATTGGTAAGAAAAGTATAATCTCTCCCAAAGAGTTTTCTCATAGCTCTGAGTAGGTAAGCTAGTCATAACATTGTCGTGGCCAAAATACTTAAAATGTGTTGGTCACACTAAAAGACCAACTATATTAACTAGATACTCTATAAAAAAAAAACCTTTCTGCCTTTGAAATTCTATCATTTTAAGTAAAATAAAAGTTAAGTCAAACTATTACTAAAATCTAGTCCCATTTCTATTTGACTAGCTAGTTTCATATTTTTCTAATATTAAAAAACCCTCTGTATCTCTATAATAACATAAATAGCAGCGTGAGGTCTCATAATAAAAACAAATCTATAACTCTGCCACCAGATCTCTCATTTTCCTGCAGTAGTCAAGTGACACAAGATTACTCTGATGTAAACTCTAGGCATGATTGTTTTAGTACCATGCAGCTACATCAATGCACACAGCAGGCAGAAAGAATGGATTTTCACCAGAGTGAATGGTGGAACAAAGAGGTAAACTGTAGTGCAACAGCATGGTCATTCTTGCTACTCCTCTATTATTCTTGGCTATATCTGGAGTGCAAAATTTAAGGTACCTTTGCATTTAGAAATAGGACATATACAAGAATGAGACAGCAAATGTGTGTTTATGTAATGAGTTATTTCTTAAGAATCAAAGATACAGTCAGGTTTACAAGCTAAGTTTTTACTTTCCATTTTGTTATTAGATACAATGCAGTGTCTTTATATCTAAATAGCAACGCCTATTACTTACAGGGACTCTGCCTTTTGCTCGAAAGGCTGCCACTTTTGAAAGGTCATCATCTTTTACACTAGTTGGCACAACAATGATGGCAGGGTAGGTATCGCAGAATTCATAATTACTGTTTATTTTGGATATTTTCCAACTCTCATTTGGCAAGCCCTGTAGGGTATTAGAGAAGGAAGAAGGGGAAATACTCACCTCTACTTTGCAAACAAACAAACAAAGTATGAATCACATCTCTTTCCTATTTTAAATGAAAATTCATTTGTAACTTTTTCAATGTTATTTAACTAATAATGCATCCAATAAAATTTAATAGCAGTTTGGATCCTTATTCATCAGTTCTTTATGAGATATGTAATAAAAACATCTAGAAGCAGATAGCTTGGTAATAGAGCACTTGCCTACTATGTGTACAATCCTGGAAGGGAGCATGGGAAAGGAAAAAGGAAAGATGGCAAGTAAGAAGACAGATAGCAAGGTAGAAAAGACATGCAGGAAAATAGCAGCAAGGCAGGCAGGCAGGCAAGATGAAAGGAAGGAGGAAGAAGAGTGAGGAAGGAAGAAGGAAGGAAGGATGGGTTCTTAAAATTCTGAGTTTCAAACCCTGTGGGAGTGTCATATATCAATCTGTTGATTTCATTGGTTAAGCAATAAAGAAACTGCTTGGCTGGCCCTGGTAGGTTAAAACATAGGTGGGAGGAGTAAACAGAATAGGATGCTGGGAGGAAGAGGAAGTGAGGTCAGACTCTGCTCTGCTCCCGGAGAGACTCGACAGCTCTGCTCTCTGGAGCAGAGACGCCATGCTCAGCTCTCCCGGGTAGACACGATAGCTCTGTGCTCTGAGGCACACGCCATGAAGCTCCGACTCAGGATGGACGTAGGCTAGAATCTTCCCGGTAAGCGCACCTTGGGGTGCTTACACACATTATTAGAAATGGGCTAGTCCAGGTGCAAGAGTTAGCCGAGAAGAGGCTAGATATAATGGGCAAGCAGTATTTAAAAGAATACAATTTGTGTGTTGTTATTTCGGGCATAAGCTAGCCAGGCGACCAGGAGCTGGGGTGCTGGGGACACAGCCCCGCCGCTCCTATTTCAACAAAACCCTTGTCCACACATTCTACTAATCCCTCTGGAAAATGATGGCTAAACACCAACAAAGTCAAAGATATGTTATAGGAGAGGGCACCAGGGACTCGAGAACCAACATGGCATACTCTACCTGTCTCTTATATTCAGATACTGGATCATAAACTTTCCAGCCATTAACTGGAAACTTTTCTTTATAGTTGAATGCAAATAGCACCTGTATATAAAACCCATAAAATACATGTGAGCATTTGTGTTAGAACTCCTATTTTACTCTGCAAATTTTAAAGTAACAAATTGGAAGCTTTTCTTAATTATTACACAGAAGAGAACGAATCCAAATATTTGAATTTAGTTGTAACACAGAAAAGAGATAAAGGCAACTTCTAAAGGAATGCATGCAGGAAAGGTTTACTTTGTTGTACTTGCCTGCCCATTAGAAAGAGGAAAAGCATGCTTGTTGAGGTTTTCAAATATCCCAAGTTTTCGTTGTTCCTCCTGCTTATATGCAAGTCTCAGGTTTCTCATATCCTAGTAAACAACGAGCACCTGTTAGCAAGATACCCTGTCATATATACATAAAAATGTTTATTTACCCTCATTTTGTACTATATAGTTCTCCAACTCACAGAAGACAAGTTAACGAAAATACTTCCAATGAGATTTGAAAAATTAAGGAACCTGGAATAAAGAGGATGTTAATGTGTATGTATATATGTATTATGTGGGGGTGTCAACACAATAATTAAGAATAATGCTGAAGTGTAGCTCTTCACAGTTGATGGCTTCTGGCAGGGGTAGGGTGGGGAAGACTAAGTTTTCTTCAAGGGATTGGCCACTGGGAGTTTGACCATTGAGTAGTTGTGCAACACATACCGAACTTGGTGTGGGTTTTTGGTGGGAGAGGAAACAAGAATGGGAGGGTGGAACTGGGAGGAATGGTATTATTGGGGTGCATTGTACAACATTCCCAAATAATCAATAAAATATTATGTCATGTATTATGTTAAAATAATTTTAAAAAGAATAATGTTTACACACAAAACAAGTACCATCACACTATGTGTACTTTCTGGCCAAAAATATGCCATGGAATGTATTGTTAAGCTGATGAGAGAGCCAACCACATAATTTACTACTTCATCCATGAAAAAGAAATGTTGCAGATTCTTGCCCCTATATACTCACTGAAAGTAGTCACTACTATGTGGAGACTATAGCTCTCAGCAATGTCCTTGTAGTAATATAATGTTGTTTCTTAAGATCACTTAAGAATGCTTTCCTTTGTCCCAGTATTCTCCCTGATGGCCAAATGCCCCACCACAAGTTATCAGGAACCAGTGCATCAAGCCTAAGCTCTTAATGTGTGATTTCTTCCAATGTGAGTGTTTTAACCATAGCCTCTCAACCTTTTAATATCTATGTTCAAACAGTATCATTCTTCTTTAACATAAAAAGAAATTTGAAAATAAATATAATGACAAACAAAGAAATAATGTCATGGGAAGTAAAGTTATTGTGATACTTATATAACAGCAAATGAATGGCAATAACCCAAATGTCTATCAGTAGAGGTTGTATCTGAATAATGTACAAGGCAGCTAAAGACCTCCTAAAAAGAAGCTGAAGCTCTATATACACTAGTACGAAGAAATTCCAAGATTACATAGCCACAGGGAAAGAAAGGTACAGAGCCATGTATATACTACCATTGTCTTTTTCCTTTCTTTTCTTCCCTCTTTTTCCTTTCCTTTCCTTTCCTTTCCTTTCCTTTCCTTTCCTTTCCTTTCCTTTCCTTTCCTTTCCTTTCCTTTCCTTTCCTTTCCTTTTCTGACAAGGTCTCACTAGGCAACTTTGGCTGGCCTGGAGCTTGCTATGTAGACCATGCCAGCCATGAATTCACAGAGATCTGCCTGCCTCTGCCTCCTGAGTGTGGATACTAAAGATATATGCCACCATGTGGCTCATTGTTTCTTTTAAAGAAATGTTTCCATGCACAAGGTATCTGTGCAGTGTTATATTAGGCATTAGTAAGTATGTCTGCAGAGTGTGGTAGACTGGGAGAGAAAGACTTGATGCTTTATTATATACAGCTTTTGTACTTTTGAATTATGAATCAACTTTAAAAAATAAAACTCATGCTAGAGATATGACTATGTTCTTCCAGATGTATCCATGTTCAATTCCCAGCACCCACATGGCAGCTCACAACCTTTGGTGACTCCATTTGCAGGGGATTTGATCTGACACCCTCTTCTAGCCTCCACAGGGTACCAGGCAGATATTCATGCAGTCAAAACACCTACACATATAAAACATAATAAAATAAGCCATGTGTGGTGGTACATGCCTTTAATCCAAAGTGCTCAGGAAGCTTAGGTAGTCAGAACTCTATGAGTTTGAGGCCAGTGTCTGTCTACATAGTGAGCCCCAGGCCTTCCAAGGCTACATAGTGAAAATGGACAGTAAAAACAAACAAATGAACAAATAAACAAAAAACTAACAACAAAAATAAAACCCCACACCTTGTGAGGTTCTCAAGCACAAGTTGGAAGCCTGGACTTTGTAATTCCAGGCTATGAAGCATTTAAACCAGCTGTCAGTCAATGCCCATGCCAGCCATAAAAATACTTTAGTGAAACAGCCACAGGACATGGGCCAAAGTAGCATCACTTCCTGACATGACTGTTTTTCAAGTCACACTGGCTGGGCATACACCCTGGTAACTCACTTGCTGTTTAGAAATGCTCAGAGGGAAGGAAAAACATTTTAATCCCTGCAAGAGTATATGCAACACGTGTGGCATGTAGATTAGTGGTAGAGTATGTGCTTAGAATGTGAGAAGCCCTGGGCTCCCCTATCCAGGAAAGGAGTGAGAAGAGGAAGGATTGAGATTTATTGACTTTGGTGTGTGTGAACAAATAGGCATGCAACAAATCTGAACATCAATATGGACATCAATTCCAAGTTTAGAAGTGGTCTTGACAATTCTGCAGGCAGGATACATCTCCTGGTACATTGCGGTAGCTTTTAGTAGACTGTGTTATAGTAATAAAGTCATCAGGCATAAACCTTACTCATTTGAGGTCTTTTTTTTTAGTGGCCATCATTCAAGTTTTCCCACACATTCCTATCTAACATTTTGAAGAAAGTGAAAAGAAAAAACCGAGGATAGTTCAAGGCATAAAGCAACAACATAGCCAAGAATCTTTAATCACTAGAGTTCTAGAACAGACTGATGGTCTTTGACCATCGACTATGTTGAAAAGTACTTCTAAAACAGGAAACTGTGAAAGGGGGGGTACTGGATTCTGCTTTCTGTTTGGTTTCTCAGAGATGTGACAAATGATGCCACCACTTGTGTTGCAGGTTAATTAGAAACATTTCAACTTTCAAAAAGGATTGCTTTGATATGTTATACAGTGGTTTGCATTCTTTGATATAAGACTTGAAGGAATCATTGTTCTGAAAACTGTACAAATTGTTCCTATGTTCCAGAGACCATAAGGGGCATGAGACAGAAAAAGTTCCGAGTGGACCGCCCCATGCCAGTGTTTACTTGTGTCTGCAGCCTACCTTGCACACGATCTCTATACCACAAGAATTATCCCCATGGCTCTGGGCACCAATCTTCTCAACTCTGCTGATCACTCCAAGGGGAACATCAAGGATGAAATGTGGGTCCTAGGTTTAAAAATTAAACATCTATCAAAGTCAGAAAACAGAGTTTTCATGTTTTAAGTTGCTCCATAGTTATAATATATGATTGTTTACTTTGAAATGCAGTTATCATTGCCCCAGAGAAGAAGCTGACATCTGAGAGATTGTATTCCGCACGAGGTCTATACCCAGACCACAGTGACACTTCTTCACATCTAAGCACAAATTTAACAATTTTGATTGACACCCAAAATTTCTTCAAACTCATTGTTATGTAGTGTCCCTGTGATGGGAAGTCAGGGGATTGTTTACTTTCTTTTACTGTTCACAAGATTTGAAAACGAAAGCATGCTTAAAAATCTTACCCTTTCTACGTTTTTGAAGTACATTTTAAAATCCGTCACTGTCAGGGTCCCACTCACTGCTCCCATAAATGGGCAGATATACATGACATCTTTCACTAAAAGAAGAAAACCAAAGTAGCAATGATTCTTATTGTCTTGTATTTCAGTAACTTCCAGCATGAGCTTCCAAATTTGTATGCATGATCCAGTCTTGTAGGAATTTAAAACTTTAAGGAATTTATCAGTTATTACATAATGGCATAAACAGTCTTCTGATACAGTTAAACTGTATTACTACTTAATAAGACTTTAAGTTAAAAAAAACTTATAGTATGTTTATTTTGTTCTTTTTTCAGGTAGTTAATATCTTCCCTGCTTAATAGTTGATAATGCTCAAAATATTAATTATCCTCTGAAGTCACTGGGCTCTCATTCTATAAACTGCTGCAACCTAAAACTAGTAAAAGCTTAACAGTAAAGGCTAAACTGCTTTGCAGCTGAAGAAAACTTGCACACTATGAATGAAGTAGAGAAACTTCTTTCATGAGCTGAGAGTATAGCTCAGTGCCTGAGGCCGTAGTATGATTACCTGCTAGGAGGGTTTGCTTAAAATTCCTTATCAGCCAGGCATGGTAGTACACACCTTTAATCTTAACCAGTAGTTGTAGATGCAGGAGGATCTCTGTGAGTTTAAGCCATCCTGATCTACATAGTGAGTTCCAGGACAGACTCTATCTCAAAAACAAAATTTCTGTATCAAAGTTAACTTTCTGTTTATTATCAATCAAATATGCATAGCATGTTTAATTCCTGTGATAGTTAAAAGGCTAACCTCTATCATAAAGATTGTTCATCTTTATGGTTTTCCCACAGTGCCAATCCACTGCAATGTTGGAGTGACCAGAACATACATAGCTACAGACATAATTCACAGCAGTAGGATGACTCAGCCAATTGTCAAAGAACTCTCATTTTTTTTGTAATTTAATAAGTTCTGAATGTCTTCTATTGCTGGGAGCTGGGTTTAATATAATTAGACAAAGTCCCTGTTCACAGACACCTGGGGACATGTGAGATTTGACACAGAAAATCACCATTATACTATAGCATTAAAAATGCTAACATAATGACATGGACACACAGTGATAGACTTCAATTAAGAAGCATCTTCACTCATCAGAGAAGCAGATGGGGGAGAAAAGAAAAGGGAGGGAGAAGAGTGGTGAGTTGTTAGAAGTTTGTTACTATGGATGCATCAGAGGGAGCAGTAAGAATGGAAACTCATGAAGCTAGCCAGATAGGTTAGCAGGGAAATGTACTAGTAAATGTATCTGTTGAATGTCAAAGCATCATTAGTATGTTATCCTTAAAAGAAAAAAAAGGAGAAGCAAAACCCTGTGGGTAGCATATGTACAAGTACAATGGATGCTAACAATAGCAAAGACTGGAAGGACACATGAGAGTATACACTTGTACAGTCCTTACCCTACACATAAAAGTAGAAAATTTTGCAAGATGTGATAGTGATAGCACACACAGTCAATACCAGCATTTGGGAAGCAGATACAGGTGGATTTCTGTTTGTTCAAGGCCAGACTTGGTCAAAATAGAAAGTTGTAAGCCAACCACAACTACATAGTGAGACTGTCTCCAAAACAGAAGTGTAAAATGACTTGAAAATGTAAAATGTAAATCATATAAGCAACTAATAAAATAACAGACAGAACTGCAGCAACTATACAGACAGAGGAGATAAAATGCATACTGAGAAAGTACTCAATTAATTAACAAGGACAGAGCTCAGTGGCAGGGTGCTTGCCTGACAAGCATTTAGGCTCTCAGTTCAGTCCTCAGCACTGTAACAAAGAAAAAAAAAAGAAAAGAAAGAGTATTCAATCAAACCAAAACATGACCAAAAAGGCAAAGAAGACACCAAGAACTAAATGAGACAAAAGAAAACAAATAATATGATAAATTTAAAATTAATTATATTTATAATATATTAATAACCCCAACATCACAAATTTAAGACACAGAATGTCAGATCATGGACAAAACCAAGATTTTTAGCTGTACATGGCTCAAAAGAAACCTACTTTACATTAAATGAATGAATAAAGAAAATACATTACATACATACAATGGAACAGTATTTAACATAAAGAAAATGGAAATCATATTTACAGGAAAATGAATGCAAATCCAAAGTTCAATAATAAACCAGATTCAGAAACACAAATACTGCATACTTCCTATCATATGCAGATCCTAAATTTTAATGTGTGTGTGTGCTCAAGTGTGTGCATGTGCATATCTATGGATACAGACCATGAAACTAGATGGGAATATAAAAGGGTAGAAAGAGGTATTGGTGGTTGAGAGAGGCTAAAGAGGGCAAGAATGGATGCGACATAAAAGCAGAATGGGGCCTTTTATGGGTAGGAAAGGAGCCAACAGGAGTGGGTGGGACTGGGGAATGTAGAACAGCATGGGGAAAAGGATCAATAACAACAAGGCATGGGACATTGGTAGGATGATTGCCTAACCTGGATAAATCCCTGGATTTGATCTCTATTACTGTATAAAACAGGTGTTGTGGAGTTCTGTAATCCAGAACTCAGGAGGTTGAGGTAGAAGGATCAGGTGTTCCAGGCCAGCTTTATTTACATAGTGAGTTTGAGGCTGACCTGAGCTATATAAGACTCTGTCTCAGAAAAATAAATGCATATGAAAACACCATAATTAAACCCATTATTTTGTATGCTAATTTACAAAGCTAAAAAAAGATATGAATATTTTGAAATTGAAAATAGGTGTATCAATGTGAATTAAGAAAAAGCTAAAATATCTACAATAATATAAAACAATGAATTTTTTGGAGCAAAGAGTTATTACCAGGAATAAAGAAGGTAATTTTTCTACTAATCACAGGGTCAATTCATAAGAAGGATATAATAATTATAAACATGTATGTACCTAGAACTTTAAAACAGAGAAAAGTGATTGATCTGCAATGAGACACAGATATCCACCATAAAGGAGGGAACTGCAGGCTGAGTAAAGACACAGAGGATCAAATGATACCAACAAATTCAACCTAATTAGCATATATAGTACACTCCAATAAATAACAGCATAATACATGTTCTTTTCAACAGTGTATAGAACACTCAAAAGATCATATTGGGGCCATAATACAATTTTTAAGATATATTCAAAACATAATACTTATGTTTCCTAAACACAAATAGACTGAACTTAGAAATTAACACCAGAAGAGGGTTTGATAAGTTCATAAATACACAGAAATTAAACAACACTATTCATTTTGCTATTGTTGGTGGTGTTTTTTGTTGGTTTTTCAGATAGGGTATCATCTAGCATATGCTGACCTTGGATGAACTTGGACTCCTAATCCTTCTGCTTCCACTCCCAAATGTTGGGATAAACAATATACTCAAGTAATCCAAGGGTCAAAAAAAAATCAAAAGCATTAGATGTCATGAAAATGAAAACACAAAATCATAATTCATAAGGTGGTAGAAAGTAGCAATTAGAATAGCCAAACAACCAAGCTAGAAGAGAGCAAAGCTCTCAAATCAATGACAGCAGTTGTCTACTTAAGCAAACAGGGAAAGAAGAGAGAATGGAACATGAAGGCAGCAGATGATAGGAAGCAATAAATGAAATAGAAAACAAATAATAACAAAATGAAAACCTAATTCTTTGAGAATTACCAACACAATTAGTAAACCTTATATTCAGATTTCTCAGGGAGAAAGGAGAGCATGTATATTACAGGTTTAAGGGCCATATCACCATCAACTGTATAGATACTAAGAAAGTGTGGTAAGTAACATTTTCACAATGATTTTACAACTACCATTAAATGGGAGAATTTTGAAAGGATGTAAACTACCAACACTTTCTCAGAAAAAAATGCTTAGATAAATTATCTAACAGCTACTGAAGACATTTAATTAAGTAATTATGATCTTTCCATGAAGAAAAGTCAGAATCCAGGTGGTTTCATGAGTAAACTACAAAATTGTAAGCAAGAAATAATTTTTTTTTTAAAAAAACAAAAGCTGAGAGAGAATAATTCCCAATTCACTCTATGTAGTTAGCATTACTGATGCCAAAAGCTGACAAAGCCATTACAGGAAAACTTAAGGTCACTGTCTGATATAAATATGGGTGCAACATCCCTCAGTGCAATTTAATCTATCAGACCTTGATGTGGGAGGGTCATCTGTCTATGTGTTACTTTCATTGGTTAATAAAGAAACTGCCTTGGCTTTTTATAAGAGCAGAATTTAGACAGATGGAGTAGATCGAACAGAATGCAGAAAGCAGAGCCAGGCAGTCACCATGGCTCTCTTCTCTGAGACGGATGTAGGTTAGACTCATCCCAGTAAGCCACAGCCTCGTGGTGCTACACAGATTTAATGGAAATATGTAGAATGGAGCAGCGGGCTCCCACACGGCTAGCTTAGCCCCGGAAATAACAACACACAAACTGTATTCTTTTAAACACTGCCTGGCCCGTTATCTGTAGCCTCTTACTGGCTAATTCTCACATCTTGATTAACCCATTCGTAATAATCTGTGTAGCACCATGAGGTAGTGGCTTACCAGGAAGGATCTTAACCTGCATTCATCTTGGAGAGGAGAGCTATATCATCTGCCCAACTATGCTTTCTTTCTCCTAGCAATTAGTTCTGTTTACTCTGCCTACCTAATTTTCTGTCCTATCAAAGGGCCAAGGCAGTTTCTTTATTAACAAATGAAAATGATACATAGATGACCCTCTTCCATCAGAAATGGGTTAATCAAGATGTGAGAGTTAGCCAATATGAGGCTAGAAATAATGGGCCAGGCAGTGTTTAAATGAATACAGTGTCCATGTAGTTATTTCCTGGGCTAAGCTAGCCGTGCAGGAGCCAGGAGGGATGAAAAGCAGGCCTGCTCGCCTCATCACTACAAAACCTAACAATGCAGAGGAAGATAATACATGAAAGAAAGTAGAGTTTATCCTGGGACTGTGTTGACCAAGCATTCAGAATGAATTGATGTAATCTGCCATATTACAGGTTAAAGAAAAGTAACACTATTAATTGATACCAAAAACATGCATTTCACAAAATTCAGTTACTGAATACAACTGTTACTAAAGTAAGAGTAGAAAAAATTCTTTGATATGATAAAGTACAACAACCACCTACAGTCAACATCATATTTAATTAAAATATGAACATTTTCCCAACATAAGGAATAAGAACATCTACTCTCATGCCTTCTCTTTAATTTCATACTGAAGGTTTTACACAAGAGAAAGAAAGCAAAAGCATTCAGACAAGAGAGGAAGAACCAGAACACTCCTATGCTGCTAGATATATACTAATACCAATTTCTTAAGTTAAATGGCCCACTCTATCCCTTAGACATTTATCCAAGAGAAAGAGAATATGTGTATAAAGGCTTTTTAAAGAATGTTAATAATTTTATTTATAATACAAAAACAGCAGAAACAACCCAAATAGCCACCAACATGTGAATGCATCCTTAAATGAAGCAGTATTCAGCAATAAAAAGGAATGATTGTTAACTGATGTCATTATGTAGTTGAATATCAAAACAAGTATTTGAAAGAAGTTAAGGAAAAAACCCTACAATTTCACTTCTGGAAAGTACTCAAAAATATAAACCACAGTTTGAGGGCATAGAGGAATGGACAGGAGAAGAGATGGAAAGGGGTGACATGAGAAAACTACTGGGCTGGATATGTTCATTACCACAAGAGTGATAATGGCTTCCCAAGCGTATGCTATGTCAGAACTCACCCTGCTCTAAACTACTACTCAATAGGGAGTATTTTACTTTACAATGACCTACTTTAATACTTTGCCTCCAGGAACATATTTTATTTAATAGTGGGGGTTAATTTACTTACCCTTTGCAAGCCACTAGAGGAATTTAAAGCACACTTACAAAGCTTAAGGATGTGCAGCTGTTCCTAACATGTACCTGTAAGATATTTCCAATAACTGGGAGAGGCACAGAGCTATGTGAGAACCTCCACCTCCCAAAGCTGCATTTCCAGAGTAAAAAAGAGACACAAAGAGGAGAGATTGAGGCTCTGGTATGACAGCCCAACCATTCAAATGGTCCTAACATGTATGAGATGACGATATTGAGACTGAACACCCATGCTGGGAGAGAGCCATGAAGCAAATAGCCCAGCAAAGTTGACTAGCCAACCCAGCAAACTGGGATGAAAAACTTATACACAGACGCCCCTCCTACATACCATCTCTTGAGATGCATGGCATTTTATCACGGGAGGTATGGTAACCCTCATGCCATTACTTTATATGCCAGAATGGCAGTACATGCTATTTTCTTCCAGTAAAATTATATTTTTGATAATCACAGAAGTCAACAAAAATTATTTTCAAAGTTCTCCAAATGTTACTAAGATGCTATTGCAGTTATCTACTGATCAATTAGTTTATGGTGAAATAGTCCATCAAAGCAGCAAGGCAGAATTACACCGAGTAACTCAGCTCTCATTTCATGATGAACAGGCAGGCTTCTGTTCTTTTGGTAAACACTGAGCTACCACTTAACCTGGATCCTCTATATTATTCCATCTCTTAAGGCCAGGATGATGCTAATAAGAAAGAATGGACCTCGTTCCTTAATTAATCAGTCTAGCTGATCTCCAACATAAACATCACCTATGCTTTCAAAGTACCACTTCATTTTATAAATTCCTATAACAAATGGTATACATTAAACTTACCAATGGCCTTAATTGATTCTCCTGGAAAAAGTGGAGCTTCTTCCATCTGTGCCAGTTTATTTCCATCCCGTAAAGCCTGGCAAGAAACCAAACAGGAATAAATCTAACTTTCCATCTGTAGATCGAGGAGAATGCTGGTAGTCTGGGATCTCTTGATAAGGCTACAGAAGCATGCAAAAATATAAGCCCCCTCCCCCTTAAACATTTTAAAAGCTCAGCACTACAGGACGTCATGCTGCATATTCTAGCAAATTGTTACAACATATTTACAATTAACAGTTAGAAAGCATTAATACAGAAATGGCTTGACGGGACAGATAGATACTGTAATCAGCACACAGATAGGTATTTTAAGGTGCCATCAAATTTGAAAATAAGGTCAGAAAAAATGTTATCTTCTAAGCATGAAAGTAACACAAATAAAAACACTAGAGGTGAGGTACTTAGCCAAAGTAGAAATGACAGAGCCTACGAAATAGTTTGGGAAACCCTGAGGCAGAATTAAAATGACCAGAGAATGGTCTCAGAATAGTGCACAACTAAGAAAAGCCCTAGTCTTTGGCACTGAGGCCCAGCTACATGCAAACATGTACATGTATGTGTGTGCATGTGTATATAAGTGTGTGTGTACATGTGAGTGTGTGTGTATGCATGTGTGAGTGTACATCAGGGATCATAAAGAATGGGAATGCCATTGTTTGTTCACTCTAGGCTATGATATTACATTGGCAGATGAGAGTACAAGTTGAACATCTGTAATGTGAATATTCCAAATAGGAAACGCTCCAAAATATGAAAGCTTTTGAGAGCCAATATAATGCTAAGTGGAAAATTCCACACCTGACCTTATGTGAAAGGTGGCAATCAAAACACATATACTAAAAAGTATTGTATAAATTTTCCTTCAGTCTATGTGTGTAAGGTGTAGATGACACAAAATTTATGTTTATTTTTGGGTCTCATTCAATACTCCAAAATATGAAAAATTTCAAAATCTGAAACACTTGTCCCAAACATTTGAAATAAAGAACACTCAACTTGTATTGCAATGTATACTGTGGGGCAGGGTGTGTTTACCACACATTTCGCAAAGCCAATTCATTTTGTTTTTGTTTTTTTGTTTATTTTCAAGACAGGGTTTCTCCGTAGCTTTTGGTTCCTGTCCTGGAACTAGCTCTTGTAGATCAGGCTGGCCTCGAACTCACAGAGATCTGCCTGCCTCTGCCTCCCGAGTGCTGGGATTAAAGGCGTGCGCCACCACCGCCTGGCTAAGACAATTCATTTTATAACTAATTTCACACTCCCCAAGGAAACTGTTAATGAGTTACTAGGTTCATTGGCTACAGTTATGCTAAAAGAAGGATGGCTGGGCAGTTCATGCCTATATTTATACTATGAGGCTGACATTGTGATTTGGAAGCCAGCTTCTTGTAAGCTTCATTGTATGGTTCCAGATAACTCATAGGGGAGCAGAAAATGGAGTTCCTGAACTCCAAAGCTAGGACAGGATCCTAAACTTGGGGCCTATTCTAAGGTACTGCCACTCTGTGAGTTGCTACCAAGGAAAACAGTCATTTTCTCCTTGGCATGTCTGAAACGATGTGAAATGAACAAGAATAAGGTGATCCAAACTACAGCAACTACAAAGCTATATTTCATAGAACATTATTTCCCAGAAGATGTAAATAGTTATTAAAAAAAAAAAAAAACAGGGAAATGCTATGTTAGAAAAAGTGAGCTAGGCTTTAGTGTGTTAATGCACACCAGATCAGCAAGAGGGCGCTAGAGTACAACACATGCCTCATACCTCCTCAATCAGGGAGTACTTTTTCAGGAATACCTGTTAACACTTGGGAGGGCATTAACATGCATCAGAAAACAGGGAGGGCAATGCTGATCAGGGATATGGTATGTACGTCTCTTCCACCCAGAGGACAGAAGATTATATGGTCCATCCCTTCCTTATCAAAAAGTGTAGTGTTAAAATCATATATACATTAGGGTTCATCGTTACAACCAAACAATGTATTCAATTTGAATTTGTAGTATAGATTAAGACATTTTTCATCAGAAAATTTCTGTAAAATTTTGATTTTATAGTGACAGAGATCAAATTTAGGATAGATACTGTATATGCTAAGCTGGTATTCTATCACTAAGTCACACCCCCATCTGAACATTACTTTTAAGACTTTCATATAAACTTGACTCTCTTTTTCCACTTAATGTCCAACTTAATCATTTTATTATACTTGTTTTGGTCCATGGTAGCAAATCCAAGGCCTTAATCGTGCGTTACCACTGAGCTCTGCCCTCAGCCCCATTTATACATTCTTTTTTATTTACATCTGACTTGGGAATATGCCTTTTATACAACAAAGCATAAACCAATACGCATACTTTTAAACATCTGGTTTTATAAATACTTAAATACCAACAATCTGAATAGAAGTCTTAATCTGAGGCCTGCTTCAATTTACTATCTGAACTACTGACTAATTTTATGGCATAATTACTAAATAAGAAAGCTACTTTATTCAATGTTGGAGTTGTAAACTACAAGCATTACATTGTTAGAGCTTACTTTAATGAGCAAATATTATACTATAAAATGGAGATTCTATAACTTATATTTAAAAATAACTAAGGATAGATTATTTTGGAATCTATTTATGAAATCACTAGAATCTGGAGGAGATTTGGGAAGAGAAGACACCTGTTCAGCTTTAGAGAAAGCCCCATCAAAATGTAAGACTTCAAGCCTGAGCTAGTCAATAAAACCCTGCCAGAATGCATAAGGCTCTCAAGATAAACAGTACAGAACAAGTGGTTCTCTTCTTGTCCCATATGACTAGTCAAATATGACTGGAAACATCTGTGCATTTTTATGAGGCATGAATATGTTGGTGAACACAGTGAGATAAAACTTTCACTAAGTATGGGACATGTTTTTAAAGGATGAAAAAGCATCTATTAGAATAACACAAAAGAAGGCCCCAATGCTTCATATTCTTCCATAAGAGAAAGGAATACATTCAGCTTTACACAGGAAATCAAGAGACAATAGAAGACTCGTTTTTGGTGAATATAGTAGATTCCCTTTATGAAGCTGTGTTAGGAGATAGGACTCACATTTGTGCTATATTAAGCTTTTACTGCAACTATCAGGTTGCACAGGACATGATTTGACCCTTGATTTATCCAACCTATGTACAGCACAACTGAAAGATGAAATAATTTGATCTCATAATCAAATAATTCGATTTACTATTGGTGCCTCTATTTTCAATGTTGCTCAGCTATGAGCTCATCTCAAATTTGGTGCTTTGATCTTGAATGTGTAGCTGAGATCTACAACCTCCTGACTTTATTGCTGAGGGTTCTAACCCACCCAGATGACTCTGGCCACTGTTTTTCATAATGTGACTCTAAACTTCTGGATGAACAGTTTATGTATCAGCTGCATGCCTAAAGCAGTGATTTTATAGTTGAGTCATAAAAGATGCTTCTGGAGTCACTGGAGGAGGGTTCTGGGCAGGTGATGGAGGACAAAAGGAAGGCTGATCACTTGGGGCTTGCCAGGCATCCTCAGCCCTGCTCTTCTACAGATTCTCCTATTCAGTTTCTATATCAGTAGCAGGAAAAACACTACTGCTTCATGAATCTGGAGACATCTGGAAGTATGAAGGAAACAGCAGGATTCTGTATTCTGATTAATAAAAACAAAATAAATATGCTCATTCCAAAAATACAAAATACCTGGTGCTGCATTAGGCACGAATCATGTAACTTTAAACTTTAGATGTATGGGTGTTTTGCCTACATGTATACATATGTGAATCACATGGCTAGAATAGGGCACTGGATGACCTAGAACTAGAGCTATAGACACTAGTAAACTGTCACGTGGGTGCTGGGAATTGGAAAAGCAGCCAGCACTTTTAACCTCAAGCCCAACTATGCAACTTTGAATAACAAAAAGTCTACACCCTTATAAAGAACCTGTAGCATTTGTGTTTGCTCCTCTAGGTCCTTGCTAAAAGCTCTTCATACTCTTACAGTGGCAGAGGTTAAGGTCATGTAACCCTATCTCGGGGAACCAAGAAGTGTGAATAAAGCAACTTCTAGTTGACAAAATGTTGGATAAACCAATTTTTGCAAATAATGTCATAATGGAATCTACCAAATATAGACAGGAGAGCACTATTATAGTGGTAAAAGCAACTGGAAAGCTTTGCTTATTGCCTAGATATCTAGTATGAAATGGCTTCTAGATGCACGGTCTGTAGCTACAAACAGATGAACATGGAGAACTTGCCACCTGATCAGCTTCAGCTTCAGAAGGGTAGCCATTGTGTTCTTCCTCTATCTCCTGCACAGCACCAGGTGCATGGACAAGAAGAAGCAGAGAAGGGAAAGAGAAACACGTGCAAACAGACAGGTGAAAGGACAGAATTTCTTTCTTAAGAGACAGTAACCATGTAAAAGTTGACACACCTTTTATGGCTTTGCAAATCACCACACTTGCCCCCTTCGAGTTAAGGAAATAACGTGTGGACCATCTATAGCATCCTCAGCCTAAAGTGTAGTGTCTATTTCTGTGTTGTGTTGGGGTAGAAAAATGAAAAGCAAACAAACATCATGGATTTCAAACAATGCACTGTCTTTATAAAACTAAGCAACACCATAGCAAATAGCAAAGAACATAACAGGCACATCATGTGCTCATAGAAAATAAAGCACACCACAGAAACCACATAAAGGCAAAGTCAAGCCAAAATACAAAGGCAGTTCATACATAGGTATTTTAGACAGAGTAAGCATTTGTATATTCTAAAGAAGTATTATATTACCCAGGGGTAAATTTCATTGCACCATGCACATAACACATGCTCAAGATTTTACATATAAATACATACATATATACATATGTGTATTATTTTATTACTTATTAAATACTGTGACATCTAATCAATATCACATTAATATTTCTAACTACAGTATCAAAAGCATGCTTCAAGAAAACAAATGCCACATGTTTTTCTTTTTAATCTGTCCCTTTAAAGATATGCTATTAATTTCTTCACAAAATCAATTTTCTTCTTGATAGTTTAAAAACTGTACTATTAACTCAACAGGTGGTAGAAAGAATGTGAACGCTTAACACGACAGGATTATAATCCCTTTTAAAAGTGGTATCAAATCTCTAATAGTGAAAATATTAAAATTTAACGGTTTTACTTTATGAAACTGGTTCAAATGGCTATATTTTTTAGGCAACAAAAGAAGTAACAAATTTTGAAATAATTTACTACTTCACATATTTACATTTTAGTCAATAAATTTCAGTAATTACATAACACATTTTTATACTCAGAATAAATTTATGGCTACCCATCATGGCAGTGTAGATTTTAAATGCAGCCTGTTTTGTTGAAATTTCTAAGTTTTTACATACAAAAACAATGGAATCATTCTGCAATTTTAAATGTTAAAACAGAAAAATTAATGGATATTCAAAACAAATTCATACAGTATTTCAAAGTCCATGCAAGTACAAAGTCAAACACTAATATTTAACTGCATGATTCAATAAAAGAAAATGAATCTCACAAGCCAAAAAAAAACAAGGTAAGATGGTAAACCAACTAGTATAGCAAGAGTTTTACTTATCTTCGTTATTTCTGTACAATTTCACTGGCTTCAATAAGATTACAAATTTCAAACTGAAGTAATTAAATCATACTATGAAAATCCAGATTCCCATTTAATAAAAAATAGGTTCATTTTTTTTCATGTCTGACACTAGGAGTTAGATGCATGCAAATTACCAATCTTTGTCTTGCTTTATGAATATTCTGAAATAGAGGGAAGGAAATTCATGAGGAAAATATAAGCTACAATTCACTACATTTGTATTTTTAAAAATACCGATTTTTTTTAAGTCTTGCTTCAAGATTAGCACTTAAACTTTTTTTGGACTGAACATGCAAACACAGCATGATTTAAGGTCTTAGATTGGATGGACAACAAATGATCACTTTTTCGGTTGCTAAGTTCTTTAGCATGAATCACACAACAAGCATGTGTGTGTGTATGTGTGTCTGTGTGCATGCGTGTGCAAAACAATAATAATCAAAGAAAAGAGGCTATCAACTCCAAAAGAGTGGAGGTGGGGATACATGGGAGGGGTTCAAGAGATGGTAGTTGAGAAGGGATGAAGAAAGGGAAGTAACGTAATTCTGTTTCAATTAAAAGCATATTTGTAAAAAGAGGCCCACATAGGCCTAGACATACAGCACTAGCCATGATCATCCATTGGGTCAGAATTCATGTGGTATGAGGAAAGCCAGTACAGCACACTGGTAACAATTTTTGCATCCTGCCTTCACACACATAGGCTCTTACTGCACGTTTAAAAACTGTAGCAAACAAAGCATTTCCAGTGAACATTTAAAGCTATGACACAGCAGAGCAAACTGATCAGAGTGACTCATAAGAACCAGTGCGAAGGTAAAGAACACTAAACAGACCAAGTGTTCCATAAAGCACAGACATGTATAAGTAGGAGGCCCATCTGCCAAAAGCCAAATATCCTTACCCTGGTATCAGGCCTCCTGAAAACCTGTTAGTTAAAATACAGAACAACATCATCATGGAAATGTTCTTATTGTGAAAGATGCCATTAGATTCAACAGCCTAGTCCCTAAGAAAGCTGTTAATCCTCTTTAACATATTTATCCCCAAAATTTCATTCAATATTAAGTCAATCCTAACACATTTGTCCTGTGAGTTTCAGAGAAGTATCTAATTCGAAGAAAATTATCTCCTCACTTCCAACTGTTTTAAACACAAATCCTGTCCTGCAAGTGTTTTCACAGGCTATTGTGACAGGGTACATTTCAAAAGTAAATGTTGTTTCTGTTTAGAAAACTGAAGGCATTTTCCATGTAAAAGCAATGATATAAAAAGGGAGATAGGCTTTTAGACCAGTCCACAAAACAAGAAAACCCCAAACTGGATCCAGAACACAGTTTAGCTATATATGAACTCAGTATCTTAACAGTGAGATAATCACACATCTTAATCTGACTTGGATTTAAATTTCCAATTCCAATTAGGACTCCAGGATTAAACTCTCTGATTTGGTTACCCCACTGGAAGCAGGGGGTGCCTTCTCTGATAGACATGGCAACAAAGAAGTTCTAGGGAGGAAGAGGTAGTGGCTGTGGCTGAAGCAGAGGTAAAACCATGCTTTATTTAACTGAGAGATACTGACTTCAGAGTATTTTTCCTGTGCCTGTGGCCTGTGAATCCTAACTAAACATGCAGCCTCTGTGTGGGAAAGCTCTAGTCAGAAGAAACAGCACACATAGACAGAACCTTAGAAAAACAAGTAGTTGTCATATTCTGGGGGAGGAGTTCAATGTTTCTGTACCTTGTTGCAAAATCTACAGTGCTAGCATTCAACACTAGATGTTGAATGAGAAACACATCATCAGAAAGAACAATTGCCAGGCTATTTATTAGCTTTATGGATTTACTAAATGGGAGAAGAGTATCTGAATACGAACACAGGCTACAAAAGCTATTCCTGTGTCAGCATTAACAACTTAAAGAATCCAAATGGAATGACCCTGTATGGTTGGTCAATGTTGCTCCCAGAAGACTCGAGTTATTAAATGAAAATAGCAGCATAAGGCATAAGATACTGCCCTACAAGCCATTGGTCAAGGAGGTCCCAGGTCACCAAAGTACCACAGGTTATTGCTGCTGTCTTTGGATACCCATCATAACTATGTGGGAGTAATCCCTCATTGCTGAAACACCACACACTCTGGCTGCAAAACATAAAAAGTCATCTTCAAACTCTTCAGAAACTTCCTCCCTAATGTCAGAAGGTACTGTGCAGGCTGATGTGGGGAGAAAAGATATCAAAGTTCTTACCCAGTGCTGAACCCAGTATACTAAAGAAAGCATCAAGTTACTAGAAAAGATGTGCTCACTGGTGCAATAGCGGTGTGACTGTGACGGAGTGACGGAATGCTTTCTGATTAGATTTGAGGCCTGCTCCACAGCAAGGAATTTCATTCCTGGTTCTGGAATCCTAGGCAAAATCCCATGGCTGGTAAGTTTATAGACCCTAATGTAGAACTTGCTCTTCTTTTTCTAAGTGGTCATGCTATCAAATTGCCTTCTAAGTACTTATATTTCTACCCCTAGACCTATTCTGCTCTCAACCATAGAGAAGCTTCCATTTGCAGTGAACAACAGCCAATGGAAAGATGTGGAACTGATCAAAGTGCTGAGAAGATAGTGAATGCTTGGCCCTGAATGGGACATCTATTTCCACCATCCCCCTTTCTGCCACCAAGGCGCAGGGAGGAGGAGGAGGTGGAAAGAATGTAAGAGGTAGAGAGGGTGGGAAAGAGTGCTGTTAAATGCGGTGTTGTGGACATGATATGGCTGTTACAGTTACCTGTACATGACCTACACAAGGTAAAGCCAACTAAAATCCTGACATAGATGTTACAGATGATCTCCAGGTCCCACACCATACTGACAGAGATATTAACAGTAGGGAGCTGCTGTGGGAAGGAGAATCATTCCTCCTTATTGAGGATAAGACCACTGTAGGTATGTATCCTATGCTCCAATGGATGACTCCACAACCTTGTACCTATGAGCAGCTTTACCTACACATAGTGACTTAGCAAAAAACAGAAGACAAGTGATTGAGAGTACATGGGGGAGAATTGGAGAGGGAAAATAGAAACAGATGTGTTTATATGTCATTTTATACATTGAAATTCTTTTTAAAAAAAGAAAAAAATTAATAAAATCTTTGCAGTTAAAAAGGTGTTCTGAATTAACTGACAATATTCTTCAAAATGAATTAAAGCCCTGAAGTTCCTAAGCAGAGACTTTTGGGGTTAATAAGCTTAAATCTGGCTTTTGGAGGGATGGCTTTTGGAGGGATGGCTTTTGGAGGGATGGATTCAAATATCAAAATTTATTTAATTGCATACTTTAAATATGTAAAGTTTAACATTTCTCAACTGTTCTTCAACAAAGTTCACAGAACATAAACAAAAAGAATAAGTGGCTTCTGGTAATAAAAGCCTCAAAACTGAAAGGATCCCTAGCCAGAGCTTCATTCTGGACCACCCTACTTGACTAGGCCTATTTCTAATTCTAACCATTGCCTCCATCACTGTTACTGACTTTGCCTTACTTCCTGATATAGCACTTTAAAATAGTGTTTATTGGCCTCTCCTTTCAGATGAGAAAATAAACTTCTCATACTACTAGCTCCCTCCTCCCAGGCCCTGCCAGTTTAAAGTTCATTTTTAATTCTTTTGGTGTTCTCCTTCAGCAGGAGTTGTGTTGTAGAGACACTCGAGCATTTTATGTTCAAGCCACTTCTCTCAACACCTGAGACATACGAACTGGTTTTAGTTTTAGGCTAGCTGAAATAAAAACCATTCTTGACTCCATTTTTTTTTAATAAAAAAAAAAGGCACTGACTTCCTTGCTCATGTTCTCCCTCCTTCTGCTTTCTTAAGAGCTCAGTCTGGTGCTCCTATTTGGGTCTCTGTCTCTATCTCGATCCATCGCCAGATGAAGGTTCTAAGGTGATATGGAAGATATTCATCAGTATGGCTATAGGATAGGGTCAGGGTGCACCCACCCACTGTGACAGTGGAACTGATCTATTGGGAGCTCACCAAGGCCAGCGGGACTGGGACTGAAAAAGCATGGGATGAGACTGGACTCTCTGAACATGGCGGACAATGAAGGCTGATGAGAAGCCAAGGACAATGGCACTAGGTTTCGACCCTAATGCATGAACTGGCTTTGTGGGAGCCTAGCCTGTTTGGATGCTCACCTTCCTAGACCTAGATAGAAGTGGGAGGACCTTGGACTTCCCACAGGGCAGGGAATCTGGACTGCTCATCATTCTCGAGAGGGAGAGGGAATGGAGTGGGGGGGGGAGAGGGAGAGGGGGAGGGAAATGGGAAATGGGGAGGAGGCAGAAATTTTTTTTCAGCAACTAAAAAAAATAAAGAAAAAAAATAAAGAAAAAAGGCACAGTTAAGAAAACTGGCCAAAAAATTTGAAAAGTCAATGAAATGATTCCTAATTTTATTCTGCTATACTTGTAGACCGGAGCCTAGCTCTGTACTTGTAGAACAAAGCCTAGCTTAATTGTCATCTGAGACACTTGATCCAACAAGTGATGGGAGAAGATGCAGAGACCCACAGCCAAATATTAAGCAGAGCTTGGGGAACTCTAGTGGAGAAGGACTGTAGGAGCCAGAGGGGTCAAGGATACCTTGAGAACACGGCCGGCCCACAGAATCAACTATGCAGGGCTTACAAGGGGCTGACAGAGACTGAACTGACAATTAGGGAGCCTGCGTGGGACTGAGCTAGGCCCTCTGCATATATGTGACAGTATATGTGAGTAGCTTGGTGTTTTGTGGGACTCTTAACAGTGGGACCTGGGCCTGTCTATGAATCTTTCACTGGCTCTGGGGACTCTTTCTCCTGCTGTGTTGCCTCATCCAGCCTTAATATGAGGGTTTGTGTCTAGTTTATTGTAACTTGTTATGCTGTATTTGGTTGATATCCATGGGAGGGCTGCCTTTTTCTAAAGGGAAACAGAAGAGGAGTGGATCTTGGGGAAAAGGAAGGTTGAGAGAGTGACTGGGAGGAGAGGAGGATGGGGAAATTGTGGTCAGGATGCAATATATGAGAGAAGAATAAAGAAAAAAGAAAAAGGAAAACTGACTACACTTAAGGTGGCAGAACTGCTAGTTAAACCCTGGTATTCCTCCTCCACATCTGCTTCCCTAACAGACAACTTGGCTCTTTTAAGGGATCTCAGCATGGGGTCTGACTGATTACACAGAAAGCCCACTTTGATCTCTGCAGTACACATAGGATCTCTGAACTTGATTTAGGTTTGTTGAAGAAGCCAACAGCACCCTGTCAGACACCTTTCGTCTTCCTCTATCTCCACCCATCTACTCCAGCATGCTGTAGTATTTGCACATTTCTTCTGCTGCTTGGTTAAGGACAGACAGCAAGAAATGAACACTGGAAGGAAGACTTTACAATATTTTTTATGGAAATAATGCCTACTGCAGAACAAAGTAGAGGCCGAGTCTAACAGACTGCAGAACTTCTTGTCAGTGTCTTTGCTACTGGAAGAAAATAGCTGGCAGTTTGGAAATAGTGTGATAACCCGTTTTTAAGCTTATACAGTTCTTAAGCTGCTATAAGGAAATCCTCAGTAGTTAAGACAGGAGAGTGTTCAGAGGTTTGCAGGAGCTTGCCTCAAAGTTTTGGGGGTATGTTTCTCTCTGCTTCCCTTTGCTCCTCTCCTGAAATGAGCCCTTTCAGATACACACAGAAATTTCTTTCCTGCTAGAATTGGGTTTTGATGTAAGCCAGAGGAGACAGCCATGCCTTAAGTCAGGAGGAGCCTAGGTGGTCTCCCAATGTATGTCTTGAGAGTTTCATTTTTACAAAATGGCATTGTATTATTTTAGTCAGAAAATTCTCTTAAGATCATCCTAGTTGAGGAGTTTATCACTATTTCTTCTTTATTGTTGACCAATATTCCAATCATCCTGACAGGTATGTGGTGGTCCCTCTGCAGGGCTTTAATTTGCAGTCCGCCCCTTACCCCTATTTCAATGATGATGATGATGACCTTTTCATGAGTTTCTCTGTCATCTGCATGCACCTCTTTGGTGAAAAGCTTTGTGTGTTTTCTTCATTTTCACTGTTATGTTTTGAGTATTCTCTATATATTCTAGATATTAGTGTTTATCAGGTATGAGGTTTCCAAATACACTTTCTCCTGCTCTGTAGCTTGTCAGTTTGCGGGGTTACTGAGACTTCCAGCCAGATTTTGATTCATCACTTTTCCATACTTAAGGTTGTTCTTGTGTTATTTATAGATAATTTCCACATATTTTAGTTATATTCAGTGTGAAAAAGAAAAATACATTTATTTGTTCTGCCTTTGCAGAAACAGAAGAGCAAGTCTCAACATTTTAAAAAAGTAATTTGTTTTCATAGGCTGATCATCTTTTCTCATCTATAATTATATTGTCCAAAGAGATAGTAATAGGGCTTTGTAAAAAGGCTTTTATGGGAACACACTATACCTTCTATTCTCCACATCTCTCTCCTGTACCCGACTTCCATGTAGGCATCTGAATCTGCAGTCTATGATTAATAAGTAAGTCATATAGCCAGGTTTTCAGTCATGACTTTTAACAGTGGATCCTGAAAGGGCATGATCAAACTTCCCTTTTCAAAGACTAGCACCCAGTTCTGGAAACATGAACCAAGACCTAATTCAAGCATTATAAAGTGCTCCCCATACATTGTTTTCCCCTTCCCTCCAAAGCCCTTCTGGAAATTTCTGTTGAGGATCCAGAGACTAATTACAGCACTTTTCTGGTTCAACAATAGCTGGGTTTCTTCTCTAAAGAGTCTAAACTAAGAAAGCAGAGAAAAATTGTATACTGCCATCCCAATTTTCTCCTTTTTTGTCATTTAGGATATTTAAACATGAAATCTAGGAATTACTATGTGCACAAGGGTAAGGGGAGCAAAAAGAGAGCAGAGGAACAGAGGAAGTGCTGAGGATAATTTTAGAGCTAGAAAAAGCTAGATGGTCACTAAATGGTAGAAGGCAGAGCAGAATCAAGTCCTTCTGAACAAAACATAATTGAAAAACATTCTAGAAATAAAGGCATTTAGACACTTAAAATCTGACTATGATCCTTTCAGCCTTACAGTGAAGGAAACCCTGAAGACTATACAAGGTTGCACACTGAGAGATTATACAAGGTCACAGAGCTAGCCAGAACTGTTTGTACTACTCCATAAAACTCCCTCTTTCTGGTCTAGTTTCACTTTCCAAATGATGGAAGTTATGATTGGTTGTGTCATTTCTACAGAGTCCCTGGAAATATTTCAGTATAATTTCTAACAGTACTATTGCATCTGCTCTACGAAAATTACATTCAGATCATAGTATTTTTTACACATTCAAGGGGAAAAATTTTAAGCAATGGCCTTATTAATTCATTAAGAATTTCTTATAAAGTATTTTGATCATATTCATAAACCCACCCCAAGATTTTTTTCTGTATGTTGGCCTGGTTAAATGAAAGCAATCGAGTTAGCAAGGGTAGGATAAGCAAAAGAAAACATTTAATTACATTTCTTTTAATAATGTTAATTTTAGTTTAGTCTTTGGGATGGTTTGGTTTTAAAGTAAGCATTAACTAGTAGGAAGGAGGAGGACTGAGAAGAGGGGAGAAGAAGAGAAAGGAGAAGTGCAGAGAGGAAAGGGGATAAGATGAGAGGACAGAGCAGGCCAGGGAGAAGGGGAGAGGAAAAGATGGGAAAGGAGAGATGCAGAGGGACTAAACACAGAAAGGAGGGGAAAGAAGAATGGGAGGAAAAGCTGGGGAGATGAGAATAGAAAAGGATTGAAGAGGGGAAGGGAAAGGAAAACAAAGGGTGGAGAAGTAGGAGGAAGAAGAGAAAACAGGAGAGGAGGGGATGAGAGAAGAAAAGGGAGGCAAAAAGAGACCCGTGGTAGAGACCCTTGGTAGAGAAGTGTGATCAGGGGAGAGAAGAAGGGATGGAGGGAAAGTGGGAAACAGAAGGAAGGGAAGGGAGAGGAGGAGAGAGGAGGGGAAGACCGAGGGAGAGGAAAAGAGAAAGGGGAGGGAGAGCAGAGGAAGAATGGGAATAGCATGGGAAGGAGAGGCCAGGGGATGGGGGGGAGTGAAGTCAGGACAGCAGGAAAGGGAAAGGACAGAAAGGGGAGGAAAGGACTGAAAGAGAGGAGAGATAATGGAAGGGGAGAACAGAGAGGAGGGATATAGAGAGAGAAGAGGGGGAAGGAGGAGGGAAGGAAAGAAACAGAGAAGGGGTAAGAAGGGAGGGTAGTAGGGAGACGAGAGTAATCAGCACCAAATCTGTACGTGTTTTAAAGAAGATATAGATAACTACAAATCTTATCTACGAATGGTTGCAACTTCAATCCTCCTGAAACTGTATCTGAACCCTTAGACCCAACTCCAAGCCATGGTTCCTATGCCAGAGGGTCTCCAAAGCCCAGAATAGTTACTCTGAGTTTTATCAGTAGCATGTACAACAGTTTGTGTAGTTAAGGAATATTTTATGCTTTTATTACTTAAAATATATTTCTTTGAAGAAGGTAACACAAATTACAAATTTAATGTCAACTTTGTAGATTTAGCTATAAAACATGCTGTCTTACAATAATTCAAAGGCTTTGACTATGATCTGATGTAGGGACTTAAACTTCAATTTCCAAAATAAATGAAAACTTTATTACTTTTTTTTGAGACAGGGTTTTTCTGTAGTTTTGGAGGCTGTCCTGGAACTAGTTCTGGTACACTACACTGGCTTTGAACTCACAGAGATCAGCCTGCCTCTGCCTCCCAAGTGCTGGGATAAAAACCTTATTTTTTTATGAAATGCATCTATTAAACCATTCTAGCATGAGCTGATTCTGCTACACAAAATTTGTAAATAGATGAAAATTGATAAAACTTTAACTATTTCATGTTAAAGATCCAACCAACATATACATTAGAAATATAGTCAACATTCAATCATGTTTGTTATTTATTTTAGTATTTTGAGACAATAGCCCAGGTTAGCTATTAACCACCAGTAAACTAGGTGGTTAGCTCAGACTGGCTTTGAACTAGAGTTGATCCTCCTATCTCAGCTTCCCAAATGCTCATATTATTGGAGTGTGCCACCATACCTGGCTACATTCACTCTTGTGCAGAACCCACATGACACCATTAAACTATAATGACAATTTTCCAGTTAACATTTAATAGGAAACAGAGAAAATCACCCTAGAGTATAAGCACTATCCTCTGCTGACAGGAGTCCTTCAATGGGCAGTTACAGGTAAAGTGGGGACAAATAGGCTACCAGCATCTCCCAACTGTACATAAAGTGGCTTCCTGATTAGGTTCTGAAGACAAAGAGCCTAAGATGCTCCCTTGTCACCATGCATGAAAATCAGTAACTGGGGACACTATTAAGAGATATACTGCCAGCCTTCGAGTGCTGGCTTGGTGATGTGCACATGACAGCTCAAGAGTAAATCTCAACCACCAGTGCTGGAGTCTATTTCTGAACTTATGCTATGATCTAGCAAGGAGAGGATGCTAAAAGTCCTCAACAAGGAGCAGTTATGAAGAAGTGGAATGTTGGCTGAAGCTCGTGAACTATTTGTGAGATTTCCCATCTTCTGAGTGCTGCTCACAGATAAACTAAATATATTCCATGTATGCTCGTGAAAATTTATTCACCCATTCCTATTAGCAAAAAAACCCAAATCAAACTAAAACAAAACTCAAGCAAACATAAAGAAAATATCAATAGTTTCACTTAGTGTTTCCGTTAGCAGCTTATTGAAATCAAAATAGTAGTTGAACAGAGATGGAACAGCTGAGATTTTTGCTTGTTAATTAATAACTATTTACTGAGTATCTATTAAGCTCCAGGACAGTGCTAGGAACCAATCTGTGCCAACAACAAACCTCTCACTCTTAAACTTAGACTATGCAGGAAATTCAGATTTCAAAATAAACAAAGGTTTCTAACTCTGAAAAATGAGGCTACCCCATTTAAAGTTCTGTAATTATAGTTTCTATGTTAATGATGAATACTCAAATGTAATATCTAAATACAGAATCATGTTTGTGAAGTAAAGGGATTGTCCATCAAGATGTGATTTCTATGCAAAATAACAAAGTAAGCAAATAATTTCTGTGTGTTTGCCTGCTGTGAGATAGGAGTCTCACTCTTGAATTTGCCCTGGCCTTGAATTCTGTCTGTAGACAATCGCCTAGCCTCAAGCTCCCCTGCAACTGTTGACATGTCACAAGCACACACTATTATGCCCACTGCCCATAATAAAACAGAACTTGATTCAAAATCTTAGGACAATTTTTTCATGTCAATTATAAAACTATACCACAAACAGGAAACATAGGTAATATTTTCCCTTAATATTTCAGACTGAACACTAAAAAACCTTTGTCCTCACCACCCCAAAGGGTAATTTAATACCAAGAAGTCAAAGGTTCATGTGAACTAAAACTACAAAGCTTCTTGGGTACTTATATAGCAATAATGAATTAAACACTCAATGTTGCTTACCTTGTAATCTCTGGACACATTTTCTGATGTCACTGAACCTGAAATCTGACTAGAAATTGTAGCAGCTATAAGCTGTTTACACCATTCAACATGTGATCCTGTAGGGCTAAAAGAAATAGTGTGATTAAAAATCTTTAAACACAGGCTCCTGGAGAGAATCAATGTGTCCTGGGTATGAGTAAATACATATAGGTATTATTTTTCAAAGTGTCTCATGTACAGCCCAGGCTGGCTTCAACTCACTATACAGCCAAGGATAGCCTTAAACTCCCCATCCTCTAGCCTCCTCCATCTCCTGAGCACTGTGATCACAGACATGCCCCCACAACGTCTTAAACTATTTGGTTGATTTTCTATTTAATATGAGAATCAATATAGACAAAACAGAAAATACATCAGGTTCTAGGTTAGTTTTAGATGAACCAATCAACCTTTTCAAAAAGTTTTAATATTGTAGGTGTTGGGGCTGGAGAAATTGCTCGGTGGTTAAGAGCACTGGCACCTCTTTAGAGGATCCAGATCCATATTCCTATTGCTCACATAACAGCTCACAAGGTCCTGTAACTCTAGTCCCAAAGCATTCAATGCCTTTCCTGGCCTCTGTGGGCACCAGGCATGCACATAGTGCACAGACACACGTGCAGACAAAACGTCTATACATAGCCAATAAATAATTTTAAATGAGTACAGGTATGTAGTTAAGTATGTTACTCTCTAACATATCACAGAATTCTATCAAAATTACATGATATAGTATATATAGAAAATTAACATAGTGCATAAAGAAAATTAATTCCAAAGTAAAATATTTACCTTAAAACATACGATTTTCAAACAAAATTCAACAAATTCATGTTTTTAGTTTAAAATCTAGAAAACAATGTACTTTTAGTGGGGGTAAAGCTGAGGGTAAGTTAATATAGAACAGACTAGAAAAGATATTTTGTATTAAGCAGTGATGCTACATTACATTTCTGTAAATGCTTTAACTTACAAAAGCTTCTTCCAGTTGTTATGTCAGAGCTTCATAACCAGTTGTGACAAAAAGGCAGAACAGACACTAGCTAACTTGACTAGATAAGGAAGTGAATGTGGCCATTACTCCAGGGGCCAGAACAACCGAAAGTGACTGATATACTGAGCTAAAAAGTGGGTACCACAGATGCTGTAAAACAGAACAGGGCAAAGAAAATATAAAACCCTCTGCTGGTCAAAAATGCAGACTTACCTAGCCTCCCAGTGACCCATTTTACAGAAAAGAAAACTGAGCTTCTAGGTTTATCCATGGTCACATGACTGGTATGTGGTTGGCCTGTGCTCACCTGACCTAATGACTAATAGGCAACTAGGCAGTGAAAGATGTAAAACTTGCTCTCAGGAGCTAGGCTCCTTTCCAGATCTGTCAAAACAGGAAAAAGAAACCAATGAAGAGGGCAAAAGACACTTAGGAGCTTTACCAGGAAGTTAAGTTTCATCTGGAAACCAAACCAAACCAAACCATCAGCAATTACATCCACAGTTGTGTGTGTGAAAGACAGAACATCTACTTAACTGTAGTCTCTGATTAAGGTGCCCACCCAGTCTTTGTGGTTGAAAATATATGTAAAATATGTGCTAAATAGGTAGAAATTCCAATGATATACAAGAATTTTATGATCCTAGTAGGAGTCAGAACTCTATCATAATTTCTAGGGGACAGGAGGAAACTAAGAGAGATATTATATTCTCATATTCTGTGTGTGTGTGTGTGTGTGTGTGTGTGTGTTGAAACAGGGTCTCTCTAGGTAGTTATATAGTACTAGCTGTCCTAGAGCTTGCTCTGTGGACCAGGCTGACTTCGAATTCAGAAATCCCCCTGTGCTGGGATTAAATGCTAGTGTCCCCTTTATTGCCTGCTCCTTTCCTTTTTTGAGACAATCTTTTTCTACAGTACAGGCTAGTCTGGAACTGTCTGTATTTACCAGGTTGGCCTTGTACATGCAGCGATCTTGCCTCTTGAGTGTTGTATTTAGTGGTATTCACCACCACACCAAGCTTCCCTTTTTTCCCCTTTTACCATCAGCACCCATCCCTGACTGCAAATACATAAAATCAATTAGGGAAATCAGCTGCTGACTAGATCCTGCCGCACCTTCTTCTAACAAGGACACTTCTCTTTACTTTGCAGAACTGCAATCCACTGTTTCCTGGGGCTTACCCACTTCTTCCTGTCCCCACTTAGAAATGAGTTGCCCAGGCAGTCCCAGGATTCCTTTTGGATCCTTGCTGTATGGATCTATCACAGGGCTTCTAGAGGCCTATTCCCACCACTTTGAAGAACACAGAGGTAAGACAGGTGAGATATCTTTAGAAGACACAAATACAAGAGATAGGGAATTCTAACAACACTGTTTTAAAGGTAGCCCTTGACTCCAATTGTGCCCACTCCCATCTCCCTCTCTGGAGTGGTTTTGTGAACCAAAATATCTCCTTTGGGGCTTAAAGTTGATTGGGCTGTTTTGAGAAAGGGGTGGGTTTATTGGTGTTGATGTGTTTTTACCATCAGCAACAGGAAGTGGCCTGGGTCAGAGCAGTTACACAGAGGGTACCCCAACAGGAGGTCTGGGTTCAAGTCCTGTTTCTGTCACTAGCTAGATCTGTGACCTTTAGGAAGCCACATCCTCTCACAGGACCATAGCTGCTTTTCAAAGAGAAGTGAAATACTCTGAAGACTACGCAAGCCTCAAGGTTCAAGGAACACATGTAAGACAGGCACACAGAGCCCAACTTCCCTTTAGGGGAGTCACTCCTTAATGAAGAGTATGCACGGCTGCTTGCTGAAATATCAGAACCGAGCCCTCTTTCCTCCCTGCTTGTTACCTTGTGCAGCTGCTCGTTCCCAGCTGGATATGGCAGGCAGGCCTTAAACTGCTTTCTTTGAAATCTGCTTCACAAGTGACACTTTTGGGCACAATGCCCACACCCCTCACAGATGCCTATACTCCTCAAGGTGTAAGACTCACCTACTTCTCTGTTAAGTGCTAAGTACCTTGAAAATCCTCCCTTCCTTATTGCCATGCTAGTTTCTTTTCCCTGAACTGCCTCTGTCTTCTGTGTCCTCTTCCTGCATTATGAACTGAAGCCCCAGAGAGATGTCTAAGACTTCTTGGTTTAGGTTTACAGCCCAGAATAGAGTTAGTGGGTTCCTTAAGAACCTCTATTTTCAACTGTGAAGAGTATGATGCAGGTTAAGAGAACCACACACATCCTGAGAAGGGATGATAGCACAACTCCTTAGGAAGGTAGCCTGCCTGTTCTCACGGGCAACAGGCCATCTCTGATCAGTTCCTTAGAAGGCGCACATTGTGCTCTCATGGCCAAAGGGCTCTCCCCACTCCATTATTTCCTCAATTCAAATACCTATCCTCCTTCCTTCCTGTCCACATCACTAACATCATACATCCCCAAACTACACCAAGTACCACATGCCCACATAGCCCAAGCACAATGAGACCGTAGTATACACCTTTCAGAAAAACACAAATTCCTGGGCCTGCCCTAAACCTCCTGAATCAAAATCCTTGGGAGTGGGACATAGTCACTTGTTGTTTCTAATAAATTCTGAATAAGGCATACTGGAGTGACATATTTCAGCTACTCCAATAATTCAGACCTACGCTGCCACCTGAATATACTTCTGTGTTTACCAATAGCCTAGCACTTATCACATACAGCTTCAGCTATCAGCCCTGGAGCCAAAGTAAAGTCAAGGTGTGCTATTTTCTGAATGGACAAGAACTCATGTGCTCCTGAAAACTTTCAGATGTGTGAAGTGCTCATGGCTCCAAGGGAAGTCTCAACTGTGGCTAGATTTTAGTGAAACCTATTGTTCAGGATTCATGTAGTAAAATATACTGTAATCACACCGAGCTAGAGAAGGGAGAGAGCGCTGCTGGGTGCTCCCATTTGTGTCTTTGAAAACTCCCAAAAGTTCAGCACACTGGGATGACTCAGAAAGCGTCACCTCACTGAAGCATATCACAACTGTCTGTTGCCCAAGTGTAGATGTCACCAGGGAAACTGGATGATCCAGCCATCTCTTGTCATTACTCGACTGGGTGGTGGCCCTTTCCAGGTGGACATGGCAAATATGCCTTGAACGGACTTATTCTAAATCGACCTCAGAAGCAGGAGACTCATGTGTCCAAGAAAAAAAGAACTATGTCCTTCCAAGTGTAAAGAACTGAAAGTACACAACTGTATTCGTGTCTCCTGAGCAGTATGGAAGTGATCCATCTCAGTTTCTCAAATCTGTGTGTCTTTACCACCATCTGCTGCAGATCGGCTGCCCATGGGTCTCACCTCCTAGTTGCCACTCCAAGCAGCGGCATCGGAACTGATCTTAAAATCACACGATTTAGGCATGACGGTGATGTTAAGAACAAGAAGCCAAGCGACATTTCTCCTGAGAGGATCCTTGGCCAGGGCCACGAACTGGAAAGGGGTTCTCAAGGAGCTAGTACATGGGCACGGGTTTGACAGCTCCAAAGCCTCCGGGAGCTGTCAGCTTGCAGCGCGGAAGTGAGCAGGTGCCCAATCCCTGGCAAGTCCGAGGGCAGCAGCTGGAGACGGGGACCCAGGGAAGGCTAGAAGTGCCTGTGGGGGAGCCGCCCACCCCGCCTCGGCCCTGGGCCGCCAGGCCTCGAGCTGGGCACCGAGAGGCGGTGGCGTCCAGGGCCCTACTTACCTGTCTAGGGTCTCCATGCTGGGCTGCCGGGAGCCGGCCGAAGCGCCCCCCACAACCCGAGAGGATCTCCAGCCCGTTGCCGGCCCTGGACCCGGGCCCCCAGCGCTCTCGCAGCTCGCCGCCGCCGCGGCTGCCGCCGCCACCGGCCTGTCCATGACGCTTCAAGCCGGGTGCCTCCGGTGAACCGCAGTCCGGAGTGCAGAGTGTAGCGGCCGCCGGCCCGGCTCCGCGATGCGCCCCCTGCCGCCCTGCTCCGCCGCCGGGCCACTCGCGTCAGGAGGCCGCCGCCATTAGCTGTCACCTGGCGGCCCCGCGTTACCCACAAGGCCACGCGCGCAGGGGCGAGGGGGGGAGAGGGGGGGAGGGGGGGGCAGGGGGGCGGGGTCGATGCAGGGTGGGCGGCGCGTGGCACCGAGGGCCACGCTGTCCCGCAACAGCTGCTGCCCGCCTGCCTGGCCCAGGAACCTGAGGTCCGGTAGCCCAGACCCACTCCAACCCCGCTTGAGCAATGCGGACACTACAGCCTCTGAGGTTTGAAAACTGCGTGACGTGCTTTGCTTTACATAGAAACCTGATACACTGTGGACGTGCGTTTTTTTTTTTTAAATGATTGAAGAAGTTCTACATTTGAAAAACAGACATTTTTTTTTTCTCCCTCTCAATTTTGGATCCCAGGGAACTGTCTGGGTGGGGACATCCCGGGGTTCTTAAGTGCCACTGGTCTTGACATCTTGAAGCATAAACAGTTCCTTAGGATTTTAGCAATCCCCACTCCGTTCTTCTCTCTACCCTACTCTCCCCCACTCCAGCTCCACAAATCCACCTCCCAGCCATCTGTAGGGCAACCACATGCTCCAAAGACGCCCTCAGAACTTCTGCCCTTGGTTTATGTTAAGTTTAACATTTAACTTCTGTTATGCAAATCATCGCTATGAAAATCAAGCCAATATCTGATAAATCGAGGACATTCAGTTCCTAAGATAGACTTATTCCGTTCATTTGGCTTTGGATCCAACATCCAGAATTTATTCTCTATTGTTTCTGCTTGGTTTTGTTGCACATGGGTACAGGATTAAGAGCCATTTGCCTGTGGATTGTATTAGATATGGACAGGAGACCTCTGACCCAGATCCGACGTATATGGACATATAAAAAGGGAGTACTTGCCTCCATGATTAAAGACAGACCTGGACACAGATTAAGCCATGTCCATCTTGCATCCAAGAGGTAGTAATCTGGGGTAAAGAAAAATCTTCAGACATAGTGGGAAATCATCTCCTGCAAATGTCTCGGTTCCAATTTTTGTTTTGTTTGTAGCCCCCATTGGCCTGGAACTCACTGTGTAGACCAGGCTGGCTTCAAACATGCTGCAATCTTCCTCCATCTGCCAAGTGCTTTAACTACAAGCAGGCACCACTACAACTCAAACAAAATACTTAATTCCTTATTAGAGAGTGAATGGTCACATTATCTTCAAATTCCCGTGTTGGAGTCCTAATTTCTTGGTATATGATGATGGGGACTTTGAGTGCTAATTTGGTCCAGAAGGCAAGGCCCTGATCAGAATAGATTAGTGTCATTGGCATTTTCTTTGAGCCACCAACCAGCTCTCAAATAAAGACACAGAGATTTATTAATTATGAATGCTTGTCCTTAGGTTAGACTTGTCCCACTACCTCTTTGAACTTATTTTAACCTGTTTCTATTCATCTACATTTTACCTCAGGGCTTTTTACCTTTTTTTTCTTTCTGTATGGCCTACTTTTCTGCTTCCTCTGAGTCTGATTGGTTGGTCCCTGGTGTCTCCCTGGTGTCTCTTTTTCTTTGTTCTTCTTCCCTCCCCCAGCCTAAATTCCTCCTTCTACTTACTCTCCCTGCCTGAACGTTCAAACTATACCTCCTCCCTTGCTATTGGTCATTCAGCTTTATATTAGACCAATCAGGTGCCTTAGACAGGCAAGATAAAATAGCAACACATCTTTATATAGTTAAGGAAGTGCAACACATCTTTTCATAGTTAAACAGATTATCATCATGAAGACCACCACGTGCTTAATATTGTACACCTATATGCATACATCAAGCAAACCAGAAACCCTGTTAGGGGTGTCCTAGTTAGAGTTAACTGTTAACTGGACACAGTCCGGAGTAGCCTGAGAAGGGAATCTGATTTGGGGGATTTCCCCAGTCAGATTGGCCTGTGGTCATGTTTGTAGGGTATTGCCATGAATTGATGTAGGAAAGTCCAGCCAACTGTAGGTGGCACCGTTCCCTGAGTAGGTGGGCCTGAGCTGTATAAAATGCTAGCTAATCGTGAGCCTTTGAGCAAACTACCAAGCAGCATTACTTCATGAATTCTGTTGTACTTCGTTGACTTAGAGTGAGTTCCCTTCGTGGAATTCTGCATGAAATAGCAAGTAGACCTGCTTTTAGGTTCTGACCTTGATTTCCCTCCATGATGGACCATACCTAGGAGTATGAGCCAAATCAAGCTCTTTCCTCCCTGTCTTAGTTAGGGTTTCTATTGCTGAGATGAAACACCATGGCCAAAAGGCAAGTTGGGGAGAAAAGGGTTAATTTGGCTTACACTTGAACACCAGTTTATGGTTTCAGGTGATTCAGTCCATAGTCCCTTGCCTCTGTTGTTTCTCCATCTAAGGTAATGTAGGACACTTTTATTGGGAGTATGTGATGGAGCAAGACTGCTCATTTCATGGTGGTCAGGAAGGAAGGATGGGTGGTGAAGAACAGAGAAAGTGGGAGGAGGAGAGGAAGGGGAGAGAGATGAACACCAACAAAATTACCCTTCAAAAGTACACCCGCTATGGTCTACTTCCTCCAACTACTCACTGCCTCTTAAAGTTCACATTACCCCCAAATGGGCTATTTAGTTATGATTCTGTGAGATTCTGTGTGATGAGGTTAGTGTATTCATGGTACAATAGGTTCCTTTGGGTTTCATGTCTCAACACTATTTCATTGGGGACTAAACTTTAAACACATTTTTGTACAATATTTCAATCTAAATTGTCAACAATTCTCCATACAAAGAGAATAAGAAATAATTTATTCTGGAGCCAAATATAATGACCATGGTCCAGGAACACAAATTTAGATTACCCCAAATACCACATTCCAATGTAGAAGCAGTTTCATCAATTTTTCTAGTAGCAGAGCAAAGAAAGTCATAAGGACATTAACGTACATTGGTAGAAACATTGGGTAGGCAGGTAAAAGCTCTCAGATAGTTTTCTCAGCTTTTTGCTTGGCTGGAAAATGAGCGCTCTGTTTATACATTCCAAAGAAAAACTAGTGCTCAGTCTGTGCATCTCAAATGATTTGCTTATGGTCACAAAGGTCAAGTACAGAGGAGGGCAACAGATGGCTATTTAGAGACCAAAAGATGGCCAGAGATAATTTGGCTCTGGGCTTACAGCATCTCAAACTCTACAATCATTGACATCCTAATCAGTTAGTTAATCAGTGTTGCAGAAAGTTTGCTTAAAGATGCATTATATTTCTGGGAACTTTTGTTCACAAAAGCAGAGCATTCAGTTATTCCCCCAACTCATCTCCCTTTTAAGTTAAACGACTATATACTATATGACATTATTGTGGCCTGTTTTCTCTGACCTAAAATGGATTCTGTGCTGTGGACTGCTAACTGCTCATACATCCTCAAGGAGGAACACGACCTCTTGACCCTCTCCATTCTAGCAAATGGGAACTGCTTATATATGCTGAGCCTCCACCTGCTAGTAACTGATAACTGCTTATATATCCAACAGGAAGGGAATGCCTCATGAACTGCCCTCCTATCAATCTTAGGGTATTGTCCCAGCCCTCTGCTGCCAAATTAAAATTCTCACACATACAGTTGCTTTTTAATGTAATCTAGATAAACAAGCATATTTTATCCACTGGTCAGCGGTGGCACACACCTTGAATCCCAGCACTCGAGAGAAAGAGAGGCAGATTTCTGAGTTTGAGGCTAGCCTAATCTAGAGAGAAATTCCAGGACAGCTAGGGCTGAGAAACCCTGTTGTAGTGATGAGGCGAGCAGGCCTGCTTTTCATCCCATCCGGCTCCTGCAAGGCTAGCTTAGCCCCAAAATAATTACATGGAAACTGTATTCATTTAAACACTGCCTGGTCCATTAGCTCTAGCCTCTTATTGGATAACCCTCACATCTTGATTAACCCATTTCTAATAATCTGTGTACCACCATGAAGTGGTGGCTTACCGGGAAGATTCTAACCACCATCCCTCTTGGGTAGGAGAAGCATGGCGTCTGTCTCATTGCCTTCTTCCCAGCATTCTGTTCTGTCTACTCCACCCACCTAATTTTCTGCCCTATTAAAAGACCAAGGCAATCTCTTTATTTGACCAATGAAAGTAACACATAGACAGAAGACCCACCTACATCACTTCCCCTTTTTCTGTTTAAACAAAAAGGAAGGCTTTAACTTTAACATACATAGTAAAATTACATATAACAAAACAGTTATCAAGCAAGAATTACAGTTATAATATTTATATCTATTTTATCTTTATCATAACAATGGAAAACTATAACAATAACTAACCATTTTTTAACTCCATCAAAGACTCCAGAAGGATATAATATTACCTAAGCAAACAAGAAATAAGCAACTTTTAAACTCTAGAAATAACAGAGATGGCTCGCTGCCCGGACAGTCACCCAAAGTTCTTTTGTACCATTGGGGCATCCATCTTCAGCCTTCAGGCCCATAGTATCCAGCAGACATTGTCATGAAGCAGGAAATTTCAAAGGCAGTTCAGTCACTATCTGCTGTGTCCTGCAGAATGTCTCGCAGACTCTTTTATGAATCAGAAACCTGGAAAGACCATCTCACCTTTAGGCAAGTTCAGCAGTCCTCTCTTTGTGGGTTCTCTGTGTCCAGTTTATGCAACAGTTCAGGCAAGAGCAGTTTCTTGCCCAAATGGCTAACCAACTCCATAAGGAGCCTCTTTGATGCCCATCTTCCTCTTGAAGTAGATTGGTGCTGCCAGGAGCAGACGTGTCTCATTGTCATGAAAAACCCTAAGTTATTAAAACATTTTAAATGCCATATTTTGTAGTCTTTGAAAGATATGAAGAATGCCTATCTGAAATATATCTCTATATATCTAGAAAATCTAACTAACATGACTACAAGCTTTACTATTATCGATAATTATCTATTAACAACCTATATTTCCTAATTATACATTACATTTTGAAATGAACTACACAATAACAATACCTTAATCAATATCAGAAATACATATACATATAACAAAATTGA